CTCCTTGGGATTTGGCTTCCTCTGGAGGAATTCCCTGATCCCTCCAGGTAGTGACTTTGCCATAACCAGCTGAGTTCTTACAATATATTCCTGCGGCCCGCAGCAGGATAGCTGGCAGGTGGGTCTGGGATGACCAGGACAGAAAAACAGAGGGGAGCAGATCCTGCAGGCCCCCAACAGGAGGGTGCAGACAGGGGTGAACATGGACTCTCACAGGAACAGGGGCTAAGACCTTCCACCTTCCGGTTGGGGAGTGATGCAGAAGAGGGGCTGGGAGAGGTCATTTCTGGAGGGTCCACTGAGGGGAGAACTTCCCCGTGGGCCCAGCCCTCCCAGCACAGGCCTCCTAGTGTGCTGGGTTCTTACGGGGGTGGGGGTGGGGGGGGGACAACCTTGAAGGGATATAGTACTCAGTCTAGCAACAGACAGAAGTAAACCTTGTTTAATAACCAGTCAATCTTTGATTAGACATCAACGGAGCCAGAGGCAGATGCAGGGAAATAAAAGGGCTCACTTTCATACAGTGTGTTTCCTACTGCTACTACCTAGCTGCCATCTTAAAACACACAAAGGGCCAGGTGATGGTGGTGCACGCCTTTAACCCAGCACTCAGGAGGCAGAGGCAAGCAGACCTCTGTGAGTTCGAGGCCAGCCTGGTCTACACAGAGAAACCTTGTCTTGTTTTTTTTTTTTTTTAAGATTTATTTATTATGTATGCAGTGTTCTGTCCGAATGTATGCCTGCAGGCCAGAAGGGGGCAACAGATCTCATTAGGGATGGTTGTGAGCCACCATATGGTTGCTGGAAATTATTGAACTCAGGACCTCTGGAAGAGCAGCCAGTGCTCTTAACAGCTGAGCCATCTCTCCAGCCTGAGACCCTGTCTTGAAAAACCAACCCCCCCATAAAGGACACATCACATACCCCAGTTCTGGAGATATCAGGTCTAAGTGTTACTAGACTAAGGTCAAGGTATGACCAGGCCTCATTCTATCCAGTTTCAAGGGAAAGGCTGATTTATGGATTCTCCTTTATCTTCACAGCAGTCCTTACATCTAACAATCTGTCTTCCAGTCACATTTCTCCACCATGTCTCAAAGTTTTATAAACTTAATCCAAACTGCAACCCCCTCTCCTGCTGTATCAGGTCTCGGATTAGGATCCGGATGTTTGAGGGTTCAAGTTGGCCTCACTTCTGTGGGCACCACTGGACAGGGTTTAAGTCTTTGTATACACATCTAGTTATTTCGGCAAGGGTTCTGAAGAGTGGAGCTGAGTGAAGAGCTTAGATGGTATAGGATTGCTGCAGCCCTAGGATGCTGAGCTCCCTAGATCTCATCAAGAGAACAGAGTGCTTATTCCCTCAACCTCCACAACTTGAGTTACTTAGTTCCCACTGAAGCATTCCAAGAACAGCTTCGTTCTGGTTTGTTGTATTGTTTCGTGGTGCTGGTGATAAAACCCAAGGCTTGCCACATGCTAGGCAAACACTCTACCACTGAGCTTCAGCCCCAGCTAATGAACGGCTTTAACTGCCCTTCACTGATTATTAAGAGCTCCATGTTTGTTATGCGTCTGTCTCTTCTGATGGAAATTCCCACACTGCCCTTCACTGATTATTAAGAGCCTTATGTTTGTTATGCATCTGTCTCTTCTGATGGAAATTCCCAGTTTTCTGACTATTTTCTTTTTATTAAAAAAATTACACTCTTGTGTATGTGTGCAGCACTCAGGAGGCAGAGGCAGGCAGACCTCTATGGACATGTGGTGGTCAGAGGACAACTCACAGGAGTTGGTTCTCTCTTCCTATCATGTGGGTTTCAAAGACAGAACTCAAGTCATCAGAATTGGTGCCTTTCCCTGTTGGGCCATCTGGAAGGCCTGCCTTTGTATTGTCCTGTAGGCACTCTCTACTAAATCACAATGTCACACGCTGACTTTGTATTGTCCTGTAGGCACTCTCTACTAAATCACAATGTCACACGCTGACTTTGTATTGTCCTGTAGGCACTCTCTACTAAATCACAATGTCACACGCTGACTTTGTATTGTCCTGTAGGCACTCTCTCTACTAAATCACAATGTCACACGCTGACTTTGTATTGTCCTGTAGGCATTCTCTACTAAATCACAATGTCTCACACACTGACTTTGTATTGTCCCGTAGACTCTCTACTAAATCACAATGTCTCACACACAGACTTTCTACTTTACTGTTCTGAATTTGGCTTTTGGTAAGAAGGGCCCTTTTTCTTAATGGTGGCTCTTTAATCAGGTAGCTAATACCTCTCACTTCTTTTCCTTCCTAAGTTTGGGTTCTAGTCTCATGACTAGAAACCCTCCTTAGGGAGAAAGTCAATGACTTTCTAAAGTCAATTTCTATGTAAATGCTCCCATGCTTCACCACTTACTTCATCCATATAACAAATCTGTCCCGGCCTGCTGGAAACATATCTTGTATCAGTATCTACTTGCTTCATTTCTGAACAAAACATTTCCATTTCAGTGACTGTCTGTAGTTTCTTGCACTGGTATTTATGCAGTCTGCCTTATTTTTCACATTTCAACATCTCTGGTCTGAGTATACGGTGAACAACTAATGGTAGAGCTAGCAGTACAACTCATTGGCAGGGTTTCCTAATGGTTCATGAAGTGCCAGTATCTTACAATTCATGGTATGTGAGTTTGATGAAAGACAGCATGGTAGCTTTATCGAGTGTGTGTGAGCTACCGGTGGAAGGTGAAATATCCCCAGAGACTTATACATTTGAACATTTGGTCCCCAGTTGGTGCTCTATTGGGGAAGGTTTGTAGAACCTTTGGACACAGAACCCAGCTGCAATGGGTCACTGAGTGGTGGCCCCTGGTTGGATGGGTCTTTGCCTCCTGATTGTAGATGTCAATTCCCATGGTTGGAAATCCACTATGTCCACAGAGCCATGAGCCAGACTAAACCCTTTCTTCCTTCTGCTGTTTCTTCAAGACATCCTATCACAGTGACAATAAAAAAATAAGTGTATCACCCAATGGGGAAAGTGCTCCCCGCTCAGTCATTCTCCAACCCCCGGCAATGGAATCAGGGCCTTGCATATTCTAAGCACACACTCTACCATAGAGCTAACTATTAAGGTTATAGTATGGTCGAAAGCCACGCTCAGTTTTTTTTTTTTATGTGGGGATGGGGATTTGAACACAGGTTCTCAGGTTTGCAGAGCAAGCTTTCTTTTTTTTTTTCTTTTTTTTTGGTTTTTCGAGACAAGGTTTCTCTGTAGTTTTGCGCCTTTCCTGGAACTCACTTTGTAGACCAGGCTGGCCTCGAACTCACAGAGATCCGCCTGGCTCTGCCTCCTGAGTGCTGGGATTAAAGGCGTGCGCCACCACCGCCCGGCCAGAGCAAGCTTTCTTACCCATTGGACTTTCTCAACACCTCAAGTTCATCTATTAGATTCTACAACCTTTTTTTTTTTTCCGAGACAGGGTTTCTCTGTGTAGCGTTGGAGCCTGTCCTGGAACTCGCTCTATAGACCAGGCTGGTCTCGAACTCACAGAGACCCGACTGGCTCTGCCTCTCGAGCGCTGGGATTAAAGGTGTGTGCTACCACCGCCCGGCAAGATTCTACAATCTTTAAGACATCTTTTTGTTTATAAAGGAATAAAAATGTTAAGATATATAAGATTCAGGACTACAGAGCCAGTGAGATGGTTCAACATGTAAATGCCTACTGTGTAAGCTTGACAACCCGAGTTCAATTCCCAGACTCACACAAAGGAGGCAGGAGAGAACCAGCTCTACAAATCTGTCCTTTGAGGTTCATATGGTGCACCATAGCACATGTGTGCCCACAGCCACACACTGACATCATGCATACAATACTAATAACAACAATAACAATTAGTTTTCCTTGAAAAAGAATCCAGGACTATAGACAGCTGAGTCTTTATAACATTAAGATAATTGGTGGTTTGTTTTAACTGCACTAAATGGTGATTTATATAAACTGTTTCCTTTCCCTCCCCCTAACAGTAGGGATTGAACAGAGTCTCCTATATGCTAGGCAAGTATTCTATTCTTGAGCCCTTGTTATTTTTATTCTGGGTTAGGGTTTCATTAGGTTGCCTAGGCTGGCCTTGATTTCATTCTGTAGCCAAGGCATGCCTTAAACTTCTAATCCTCCTCCCTCAGGCTCCCGAGGAAGTAGCTGGGATTACAGGTCTGTACCCCGGCCCAGTCCTGCTTACTCTTAAACCATCCTTGCATTCCTGAGATAAAACCTTGGTCAAGAAGCAATATTTTTTCATTTGCTGATCTTCTATTTAAGACTTCTGCATTTCTATTCCTGTGAAGAAGCAGTGTTTTTGTTTGCTTGTTTTGTTTTTTTCACATTACATTTGCCCATATTTTCAGCAGGGGCATTCTCAACATAAACTGAACTTCCAGCCTGTTCCACTCTGGAGATTCTTTCTGGGACTTGGAACTGTTTTAAGGAATAACTTCTTTTGTTTTGTTGTTTTGAGACAGGGTTTCTCTATGTAGCCCTGGCTGTCCTGAAACTCGCTCTGTAGACTAGGCAGGCCTTGAACTCACAGAGATCCACTTGCCTTGCCTCTGGAGTGCGGGATTAAAGGTGTGTATCACCACCTGGCCTAAGGGATAACTTTTTGACATTTCTTCTTCCTTCTAGAGTTTCAGTTCATTTGGAGACATTTAACCACTAAGGTTCTCCTCCACCCGAATGCCGCAGGTGCATCCTTGAGACGGCTGTGCCGCTTTGGTGCCTGCTGCTCCCTCTCGACTACTTTCTCTACACACTCTATGGAATCATGTGCATGTGTGGGGTTCCTGTGAGCTGTGGCAAGGACACCTACATTTCAGTCCTTCTGTGTCCAGAAGGTTTTGGCACAATCCCAGGGCCATGGCACAACCTTCTCTGGGCTGCATGCTGCTCCACCCACCTTTTCTTGCTAAGAGCTTGCTTCATGACAGGGAGATGCCGCACAGATTCAGATCATACAGTTTATTTCGGTGAGAATTAGAATCAGGAAATGGATGTTAAACCCCATGTAAGCATTCTGACATTGGAAACTCCTAGGCAGTTGGCCAACCAGTTAGCTTGGCCACCTGAGCACATGCTTAACAGCTCAAGGCACACTGTCCCCTGATACTGAACATAGTCTAGATCAGTGCTGTCTCTAGAACCTTCTGTGATGATGGGAATGGGACGCCTCCCATTAGATGTGGCCTCTGAATAGATGAAGTGTGAGCACAAAAGAAGAGATAAAATAGAGTCAACGGACTTAGCTATGAACAGTTAACTGCTGCATGTGGTAGTTAGGGGCCCCATCTTTGACAGTGCAGAATGAGAATCCTGGAAGCTGAGGGGCCTTTGGTGACCATATTCAGTCCTTACTGTGAGAAAGAGGAGATCTGAGGTGCCAAGGGATGACAATGCCCTTGCAGCATTAGATTCATGCCCTAGCGGTTTGCTCAGAGAAATTTCATATAAATAAGGCCAGAGGATCATGGATGAGAATAGGAGGCCACCTGACTAGTAACTAGTGGCCAAGAGCTTAGTTTCATATGTTTTTGAGAATCACTTAGGTTCAGCAGAGCTGGGGGTATGGAGTGAAGCTCTCCATATCTCAACTTTTACCAGTGGGAACAAGGTCATACAGTGCCCAGTGTGCTCAGCCATCACTCATGATGGGAAGGCTGGGAACAAGGTCACACAGTGCCCAGTGTGCTCAGCCATCACTCATGATGGCAAGGCTCTGAGGATTACAGCATCTGAGATCGGACCACCTTTTACTCATTTTTTTTTTTTAAATATAATTTTTTCTTTCCAAAATTGGTCTGAAAGACTATCAAATGTGCTGTTGTGGGTCATGACTGCTTAAACCTTGCAAACTGATTTGAGGGCTTGCTGGGGAAGCCCAGAATGCCCGCCAGGCTAAGGGCATAGACAGACAGGAAGAACAAATGGCTGTAACATGTCCTGCATTCTCTCCATGGCTACAATAACCGTCACCAATTCACCAGGAAGACCGCGTGGCAAGATTTAATAGTGTTGGCATCTCCAAATGGTGTGTGGCATCACAGGCCAGCTACCACCAGTGCCTCATTATTGCCATTGGGTTGTGACTGTTGGTATAGTGACGACTTCAGGAGCAATAGGTAGATTAAAAAACCGTGGCTGGGAAGTTCTTTCGAGGAGAGGGACCAGGTGAGGAGCAAGAGGACTCAGAACCTGACGAACGTGGCATCGATCTGCCGTACGGAGGGTAGGGCCAGCATGACCTTCCGCCGGTACTGTGGGTCCTTCTGCAGGGGGTTGCGTTCCAGGTACACGGTCTCCAGGTTCCTGGCACCCTTCAGCTCATCAAGGTCACTCCAGCTCTCCAGGAGATTGTCATTCATCTGAAGGAACACATGAGAAAAAAGCCTTTAGAGATCAGCTCTGGCCTCTATGTGCCGGGATCCTCCAAATATGAGACAGGGGTTATTAAAACACCCTACAGCACTGGCTCTCAACCTTCCTAATGCTGCGACCCTTTAATACAGTTCATGTTGTGGTGACCCCCCAGCCATTAAATTATTTTTATTGCTACTCCATAACTGTAATTTTGCTGTTATGAATTGTAATGTAAATATTTTTGGAGACATAGGTTTGCCAAAGGGGTCGTGACCCACAGGTTAGAACCACTGCTCTATAGTCCTCCTTATCCCAACCCTCACAGATCCTTCCATCACCACTTGGTACTTCCTGGCTGCCTTGAGCAGCACTGTGAAAAGCTGTACTGCTCACACATGAGCGAAGTCTGTTAAGAAGAGCTGAGGCAGCGCTGGCTGCACACCTCCTGGCCCTCACGCAGGTCTGAAGCTGGCTACTCTTCCTACACACTTGCTCTCCCCAACTGCTGCCAAGGCTGAGGCTGTGCTGACTGTATTGCAGCTGGCCAGGGGCTGCTCTACTCCAAGCATGACTCTTAGATCACCTTTGTGGTACATTTCTGAGGATGTCTCCATTGCTTGCTCCTGTATGCAAAGGCCACCAGAGGCTGACCGACCAACACTGCCAGCACCAGATGACAAACACAGAACCTTGCAGTGGACTGGGGGCTGAGCCTGGCAGGAGAGTGCTCTCCCTTCTCAAATGTGCCATCAAGATGAGACTGAACTGGTTGACTTCTACATTGTCCAACAGATGCATGCGGCTTCATAGTGGGATCAATTTTTGAAACAGAGCTACCTTGTGTAAGAACCTACAGTATCAGGTTAAACTGTCCAAACCCATTTTCCAGTCTAAGTGCTGAGGCAGAAGCTTGGGAAGGACACCTTTAGCAAAGTAGCCACCTAGATGTGGGCCATGGCATGCTAGTTTAACCAATAAATAGCTTGTTCTACAGGACAGAGGAAAACCATGATTAATTAGTTGAGTGTGCTACTTCTGTGGTGTAAGTACCATGGCTGACTTAGCACCAACATGCCACCACTAACTATAGCTGTTCACAAGTGTGCACAATTGGCTACTCATGTCACCTAGGCTAGATGTGGTCTACTGCACTTATGGGTTTGAAGACAGAAACTAAATGGCAGGGCAAGCTGCTATGTCAACAGCCTGAACAGAGGAGCCAAGTCTAGCAACAAACTTTAGGACTCCGACTGCAGCTCCTGCTCTGCCCATGTCAGAAGTCATGTCTGTAGATACTCAAGGTTGCATGGTCTGCAGCAAGCAGCTGCAGAAAGAACCAGGCCATCACTCCTAAAGAAGTGACCTCTGTAGTCTGAGAGCCTACCATGGGAGACAGGCTACATGTGAAGGGAAGTAGAAACCTGTAGCCTGGATGAAGGGCCACTGCATGAGAATGCAGTGGAGGGAGGCATTTCAAGAACTAGATTAGCCGGGCAGTGGTACATGCCTTTAATCCCAGAGCCAGGCGGAACTCTGTGAGTTCGAAGCCAGTCTGGGCTACAGAGTGAGTTCCAGGAAAGGTGCAAAGCTACACAGAGAAAGCCTGTCTTGGAAAAAAAAAAAAAAGAACCAGATTAATTTCCATGTAAGAGCTTCTCAGGCACTTGTCCTAAGACCCCACTGTCCACAGGACTTGGCCTGGTACCATTCCTTTGGGTTTGAAGCACCTGGTCGCATAGGTCCTGGGAGTGTTGCTTCTCTTGCACTGACGATTCATGAGGCTCTATCCTGTGTGAAGCCCTGAAGAATGCTGGGATTTGACAGAGTGATGATGTTTGTGGGGAAAGGTAAGGAAGGGATGGGCAATACAACAGTGAGAGCCCTTAAAAGGATCATGGAGCTTTTTAAGAATTATGCTTTGCACTCGGGAGGCAGAGCCAGGCGGATCTCTGTGAGTTCGAGGCCAGCCTGGTCTACAAAGCGAGTTCCAGGAAAGGCGCAAAGCTACACAGAGAAACCCTGTCTCGAAAAACCAAAAAAAAAAAAAAAAAAAAAAAAAAATTATGCTTTGATTCCTAAATGGGTTGGGAGTCCATACAGGATTTGTTCTAGAAGGGTCTTTATGCTTTTTTCCTAGGTCCTGTCTTTTTATTAGCTCATACACAATAAAAATATGGAATGCTTCATAAACTTCTGTGTCATCCTTGCACAAGAGCTACGCCAATCTCTGTATTGTTCAAAATTTAGTATGTGTGGAGCCAGTGCAAACACAAGGATCTTATTTGGAGGGTAGACACAGGGCTCCAGGGCAGAAGGCCATCGAACAGTACAGGGAAAGGATGCTGGTGGTTTGGGCCAGGCGGCAGCAGCAGAGGTGGGAAGAGATGGGGGTTCTGGATGCATTTTGAAGGCAGGGGCAAGTATTTAGATGTTGGACTGGATCTGGTACACAGGAAAAAGGAGGTTTAGGAGGATGCCAAGACTTCTGGCCTGAGAATCTGGAAGGATAGAGTCACTGTCCACTGAGGCTGAGTCAAACAGAGGGACTGTAGGGACAAGGCATGAGCTCAGGCTTGGACTTGTCTTACTTGGGTGACGGCTCAACACAAGAGTAGACATCTAGATCCAGGGAAGACACTGGAGCTAGGAAGAGAAACCTGAGCAGAGTGGTGACATTTAAATCTGTGAGACTGGACAGGGCTGTCAAGGAGAGGAAAATGAAGACTGAACGCTGCGGCACTCCTGTGGGTGCAGAACAGAAGAGGAAGAAGCAGACAACCAAGACAGACTCAGGGACACAGGAGAACGGAGGCCTGTGGCTGGCTGTCTATTTTCAGAAACGCTCAGAAATCAAATATAGCTGCTGAGAGGTGGGAGAAAGATGAGGAATGGAAAGGATTGGAATGGAAAGTTGCTGAATCTGGAATGTGTCCACTGGCAGAGTGGAATTCAAAGCAGTGTATAAAGGGCAGAGTGCCCACAGGGATACCTGGATGTTGGCTGCCAGGCCATGCTGGTGGCTGCGTACTTAATTTCAGCAGGCTCATGAAGATGGATGTCTGCTCACCACAAGCCATCAACTCATAGGGCAAGTCCAAGCCTGCCATCATGAGCCCCCTCTGCTGCCCCGTCTGGCTCAACTTCAGTGGGTAAGGGTCCACCCCTGCTGCCAGGCTAGACAAGGGCTGGCTGTGAAGGAGAACTGAGAGGGGACAATGGGTGAGCAGGGGAAGGAGTGAGGCCAAGATGGGACTCAGGATGTCATCTGGCCAATGTGTCTGAAGTTCATGGAAAAGGGTATGAAGAGGAAGAGGTGGAGAAACTGAGATGTTAGGTCATTAGAGAGATCATCTACAGGGACACTGGTATCACCAATGGTGTAGACAGACAGAAGTGTTGTTGGAGAGCATGAACTAAGTACGAATGTCTGCAGAGAAGAGAGTAGCTGTGTGCGTGCGTGCGTGTGTGTGTGTGTGTGTGTGTGTGTGTGTGTGTGTGTAGGGGGGGTGTCTGGGAGCTGGTAGTGTGCAGGGTGCTGGGTGGGTTACATAGCCTATGTCAGCAACCACTAAGTCACTGGCCAAGTGTGCCATCAGGCTGTTTACCACTGACTGGAAACATAGGACAGCACTCCTGAGAGGCCCAGTGGGGTGAGGCCAGCACAGGCACATTGAGAGAAGAGAAGCAACTGATCCATTCATTTGCTGGTGACATGTAGGCAATGTCTGTCGTCAGAGTAGGTATCAGCAGCAAGCAGTCTGCTGCACCAGGTTCTCCTTCCTGCTCTAGATTTTGGTCAGCATGATGCCTGCCTTGCCAGTCTGGTAAGGGGAAGGGGCAGGACTGGACCCTCCAGGGACCTGTGCCATCCCTCCTAGATCCAGACTGTAACCGTGGAACGTTTCAAGTAGCAGGAGTGAGGCAAACTGTTCTGTACATTGCCCATGCTTATCTGCCTGCTATTTTTCTACTGGGTAGCTTTCTTGTCACTTTTAGGTTTTATAAATTATAGAAAATAATCTTGGCCTTTCAGGTGACCATCATACTCATGCATCATGTGAAATGTTCCTAGGTTTCATATATAATAATATATCTAAAAAGTGTATCTATAAGATGGAAAGGATATATGCTAGAAGGGCTTTCTTTTCCTCTTTAAACCCGACCTTTTTATAAATATAATAAGCATATATTTTTATTATGAAGAAATGAAACAAAGCTTTTACTACTATGGGAAACAAATCATGTGCCACCTGATGACATTTTGGTCAACAAAAGACTGTATCTCAGTGTTGGTCCCCGGGGTCCAATCTAGTCAAGGTCCCACAAGGTGTTATTTAGTGACATCATAGCTGTCTTTGTCTATGTACACTCTATGATGCTCAGATAACCGAGGTGTCCAATGATGTATTTCTCAGAGGTGTCTCAATTGTACAATACACATGACTATTTCTTCATGTGTATGTCTCATCATTTTCTTAGGATCCTGCATGTGATACTACCATGCTTCAGTGTGTGGGTATGTTTAAGGTTCTGAATGCTTCCAAATACTTGTGCTAAGCACAAGGGTTGCTGTACTACTGGCTGTAATCACATTGCACAAATCTGCCGACTTCACAGACAAAATGCTTTCTCTCATTTTTTTTTTAAAGATTTATTTATTTATTATGTATACAGTGTTCTGCCTGCATGTATGCCTGCAGGCCAGAAGAGGGCACCAGATCTCACTGTAGATGGCTGTGAGCCACCATGGGGGTGCTGGGAATTGAACTCAGGACCTCTGGAAGAGCAGCCAGTGCTCTCAACCTCTGAGCCATCTCTCCAGCCCCTCTCTCATTGTTTTTTAAAAGATGGATTAAGTTAGGAATCGTGTGGGCATTTGCCAGCAATAAGCACCTCTCCTGTTTCTGTCAGCAGAGTGCTACCTCTCACAGTTTGAACATTAACACGGTCAGCCTCACTGAAATGACAACCCTTCCTTTCCTAACTCCCTCTTCTGGATTCACCGAGTCTGTATCAAGCACTGTTCTAAGTGCTGGTGAGACAAAAGAAACGACATGTACACAGCAGAACAGCACTCGGCCTTCAAAGCAGGGACAGTCTCACTGTGCTATGACAAGGAAGAGCCTGGACGACACCACACTGTTGAAGCAGCAGTGACGAAAGGTCACAAACTGTGTGAGAGTCAGAAGAGAGAACGGTGGGAGCCAGCAGGGAGGAGAGGGAGAGGACAGTTCTGGTTTGTCAGACAGGGGTGGTGGTGACGGCCACACAACCAGGAATGTGCTTAACACCATTCCATTCCACACTAAGAAGGTTTAGATAGTAACTTTTAGGTTTTGTTTTTAAAAAGAAGATTTAAAAAGTCCTAAACAAACCTTTGTTCTTCGGTCTTCCTGACCTTTACATTTACTAGTGGGGAGACATACAGATAAGATGAGCTTTAGCTCCAATCAACCCTGGAGCAACTGCTGCTAGACTTGCTTTTGTTATAAACGAAGAGAGCAGGACATGGTGGGGATAGCTGCTTTCACAGGCTGGACAACAGGCGGTGCAGAACAGGGATTCCCGAGAGGGGAGGCAAACGGGCGAGTGCCTCAGTCACCCTGGCTGGCCTGTTAGGAGGCGCCTTCCATTAGGTGAGGAAGGGAGCCAAACAAACCAGCAGCCGCACTGAAGTGAAGTGGAATTATGTGTAGGTGGGGAGAGATGATGTCAGTCAGAATTTCTAGGTAAGAGTGAGCTACATAGAAAAAGAAAATCCAGAAATCCCGTGGTGTCTCCCTCCTTGTATCTTGGACTAAAACTAAGGCAGATACAAACAGAGTGGGAGAATGGGCTGAATTTACCAGGGCCCACATGGAACAAGGACATGTCTGTGGCTTCTGTGACACTCAATAGAGACCATAGAGGGGTAGGCCATACGCAGGGACAGAGCTGGTTAGCCTAAGAGGACAGAACATGCAGGTTCATGCTAGCAATAAGCCTTGAAGGTCAGCAGGGACTTCACTTCTTGCTAGATACAAAGCCCAATATATTTTGAAGAAACACAACACAAATCCAGGTTTATAACTTTTAGTTTCACAATACCTAACATACAAGAAGTTACTAGCCATGCAAAGAAGAAATGACAAAGAAACCTAAGAATCTAACGAGAAACCAAAAAGAACAGTGCAGGCTGCAGAGGCAGCTCAGAGGTTAAGAGCAAGGCTGTTCTTGTAGAGGGTCTGAGCTTGGGTCCCAGCAGCATATCAGGTGGCTCACAGTCCCCTGTAACTCCAGCTCCAGGGATCCCATACCATCTTATGGCCTCCATGGGCACAGGTCCTCATGTGTGCACAATTCATACTCAGACACACATAGATATACATAACTTAAAAAAAAAACAACTGTAGCAACACGTTCTCAAAGAGCTGAAAATATAATCAGAACAAAAATCCACTGAATAGGTGTGATCAACTTCACTGTCAGCATGACTGGGTTTAGACTCACCTAGGAGATGTCTGAGTATGTCTGAGGGAACTTCCAAAGAAGTTTAACCAAGGAGGGAAGCCATACCCTGAATGTGGGTGGCATCATCCCTTGGGCTGGGATCCTGGACTGAATAAAAAGGTGAAAAGCAGTATCATCAGCCCCTGCTCTATGTTTCCCAGCCTTCCCTGATGTGAAGGGTCCAGAATCTAGCTGCATGCTCCTGCTACCATGAACTCTGCCATGACAGACTGTGCCCTTTTAAACTGTGAGACAAAAATAAATAAATAAATACATTAAAAAAAAAAAAAAAAAGGTTTTCTTAACCTCTGAGCCATTTCTCCAGCCCAAATCCTTTTTTCTTTTACGTTGCCTTTGTCAGTTATCTCGTCAAGAGAAATACCTAGGGCTGGAGAGGTGGCTCAGCAGTTAGGAGTGCTTGCTGCATAATGAAGACCACAGTTTGGATTCTGTGTAACAAGCCAGGCACCCTGCATGTGTGTGTAACCCCAGCTCCAAAGGAGGTGAAGACAGGATCACTGGGGCTTTCTAGCTTCCTGCTTAGCTGAGTGAGAGAATGCCAGACCCAGGTTCGGGGAGAAACTCTGCTTCAAACAAACAGGCAGAGGATGACAGAGGAAGACACACATGCCTTCTGTGCCTGCCACACACAGGCACAGGCATCCATACATACACATGTTCTATAAAGATGCATAAACACCAATAAATTCACAAATCTCTAAAAATGGAAGTAGCTAATTAATGAGCTTAACAGCAGACTAGGTATTGCAGAAGGGAAGACAGCAACAGAAATCACAGAAACTGAGGCTCAGCCAGAGCAAAGCCTGAGGACAGGCGGGGTAGATGAGCAGCAGATGTGCTATGATCTAATTACCAAAGACTAACACACATATCCTTACAGTTTCAGAAGAAACTAAGGATGGGGAGGGACTGGAAAAACTTTAGAGGGAAAAAAATTTTGTTTTCTGTATTTCACAAAACTATAAATTTACATATTTAAAAAGTTCAGCTGGGCCAGGCGGTGGTGGCGCATGCCTTTAATCCCAGCACTCGGGAGGCAGAGGCAGGCGGATCTTTGTGAGTACGAGGCCAGCCTGGTCTACAGAGCGAGATCCAAGAAAGGCGCAAAGCTACACAGAGAAACCCTGTCTCAAAAAAACAAAAAACCAAAAAAACCAAAACAAAACAAAAAGGGTTGGGGATTTAGCTCAGTGGTAGAGCGCTTGCCTAGCAAGCGCAAGGCCCTGGGTTCGGTCCTCAGCTCCGGAAAAACAAAAACAAACCAACAAACAAACAAAAACAAAACAAAAAAAAAGCTCAGCTGGGCACAGTGGCTCATGCACTTGGGAGGTATAGGCAGGTGGATCTCTGTGATGTCAGCCTGGTCTACACACAGAGTTCCAAGAACAGTCAGGGCTACATAGAGACCTTGTCTCAAAATAAATAAATAAATAAAATTGTGTATCTATAATAGTGTACTAAAAAAATGAAGGTAGGGTGGCGAGATGGCTCAGTGGGTATAAACACATGCTGACAACTTGAACACGATCCCCAGAACACATGCACGGCACAATGAACATCAAGGCATCCAGGATTAGCGGACTTGCATTCATTCACATGTTTACTTAACAGGACCCATTGAGCCAAAGAGACAGATACCAATTCCACTAAGTTTAAAACTTACCCAGAATTCTTGCAGTTCTGTTAGATGGCTGATATTTTCAATCTTTTTTATCCTATTTGATGCAATGTCCAACATGGTGAGTTTGTTCTAGAATAAGAAAATATTTTTTTCTGGATTACTGAAGTTCAAAAGCAGCATGCGACCATGTACAACAGTGTGGCACTGAGCTGAAGGCTCAGGTGAGCCACCCTCCCTGCCTTGGGTCAGCTTTGATAGAGCGGAGGCTGATACCACCTACTCACTTCCCATGGCTTCCCCAGCTGGACCTGAGTCAGTGTTTTTGCTCAAACCCTCATGAAGCTCTCACTGTTCCTGAACTTTATCAGTCTGAAGGCCCCATAACTACAGAGGACCCCAGTGAGACCCTTGCTCCTGTTCTTGTGGTCTGGGAAGAGCAGTGACCCTGAGCTTTGAAGAAGTAATGCCAATCACTGCAGCATGTCTTTAGTGCTTACCGTGAGGCAACAGTGCCAAATTTCTCTACAGTGGAATACCTCTCTTCAGTGAGGCCGAGGAGCTTGAGGTTTGGGTGAGGATAAGACACACAGTGGAGGTGGGAGGAGTAACAGAGATGCCTTCCTGTCTTGGACAAAGCTACCTAGGGCAATGCCAGGAAGGCCTAGGTTCTGAAGGGCTAATGTTGGGGCCTGCTAGGACTTCATCTGAGGATGGTGTCTGTGGGTACCAAGTATCTGCAGGATACAGCACTGTGGTTTTTTCTTTGTGTAGCCCTGGATGTCTTAACAGCTAGCTCTGTAGACCAGGCTGGCCTCGAACTCACAGAGATCTGCCTGCCTGTCTTTGCCTCCCGAGTGCTGGGATTAAAGGCATGCACTACCACCACTTGGCTCACAGCATTGTGTTTTATGATGTGCCCTATAAGTGCATGTCAGATGCTTCCTGACTTGGGTAATTATTTTCAAGTTTACAGCTTCAAGATTCAAGAGAAGAACAATTTCATGGTGAAAATTAAGTCTACTGTAGCTTATAGTGCTTGCCAGTATGTTTTAACAAATCATTGTGACATTCTCCTAGACTCCATGTGAATCTTGCAGCTGGATGGAAATCTGGTAACAGTCCTTCCCTCCTCTGCCCTAAAGACCTCTTAGCATTTTAGACTCATGGTCTCTGTTTTCTACTGCATTCCTGGTGTCTCGATTCCAAATCTTTCTAAGTTTTAATGGAAATTAAAAAGGAAAAAACCTTCATAGTCAGTAGCTATTGATTTTAAAATGTCACAGCTGTAGCTTCCCAGTCCCTTGGAGGTTCCACAGTACCACCCTACCTTCCTCCACACCCCATGCAGGCATCGTACAAGCATCAGCACACATGCTAGAAGCACCGAGTCCAGAAGTGCATAGCTATGAGAGTACTGAGTAACAATTCATGGGGCTTCAGAGTCAACAGAGCCATAGAACAACTGTACACAGGAAGGGACTATAGTGCCACGCTGAGGACACAGCAGGCTGGGACAGGACAAGGCCACCAATGGAAACCTTCCCCAGCACTCTGTCATGGCCCTGTGGTGTTCACACTGTGTGCAAGACTGTAAACTAGCAAAACAGTTGTAGTCTGAAAGCCACTATAGATCTGGGTCTTGTCAAGTCCAGGTACCAAGACTCAGCGGGAAGAGTGCTGGTGGTGGACACTGGCCACCAGGACCCTCCCGAACCTTTCTGACCTGAGATCCAGCTATACACTCAAGCCCCTTTGTATGTGAGGAGGATCTGAGCGCTCATTCAAAAGCAAGCAAGAATTTTTAAACTGAAAACAGAAAAAAACAACAGGGTGGGGTGGGCAGCTTATACACATCACAGGCCATAGCTTCCCATGATAAAGTAACACCCAGTTCAAGGGCCAGAACAAACATTTTAGGTTAACGAAGGGAAAAGCTCAGGGCACAGAAGAGCCAAATCCATCAGACAGGTGCCTTGGGACATTGAAGAAAGAGCATCTGGTAAGTGGGGCAATGACAATGCATGTCCCACCATGAAAATAATTCCTGGCCGGGCATTGGTGGCTGACGCCTTTAATCCCAGCACTCAGGAGGCAGAGGCAGGCGGATCTCTGTGAGTTCGAGGCCAGCCTGGTCTACTAAGTGAGTTCCAGGAAAGGCACCAAAGCTACACAGAGAAACCCTGTCTCGAAAAAACAAAAAAACAAAAAAACAAAAAAAAAAAAAAAAAAAGAAAAGAAATTCCAGATCAAGAGATAAAACAACTTGGGAGAACATTAGGTAAATATTTTATCATGAGTTGAAATAAAATCTGAAAGACTGTCATATTTGACTATGGTAAACATTACGATGACACGGTTACTGTTAAGACTGTATTTTTCTGTTTTGTTTTAGGCCCAGGAATGATATGATATTTAACCAAGACTTAGGTACAACATGTCTTAGGTAGGACTCTACACTCATACCTCTTTCCTGTTTGAGGACAGACCTGCACCACAAGAGAACTACAAAGCAGATATGGGCTGGTCTCCCATGAGGACTGGTACCCGTGAGGAGCAGGGGTACTGGTACTCTGTCAGTGTGTGCACCAGTCCCAAGGCTTTCTGAAGTCCCCCCGGTCCAGCTACTGCCTCCATCTCCCCTTTGAACTACCATTCCATACTACAGAAGGTCACGTGCTGGTTTTCATCGTATATGCGTGTTTGAGATGGTCTCATGCTGCCTAGGCTAGACTCACGATGTAGTCAAGGTTGGCCTTGAACTTCTGATTCTCCTGCTTTCACCATTCAAGTGCTGTGATTATAGGTGTGTACTACCACACCTGGCTTCATATGCTAGCTAAATCCTTAATTTGATTGCAAAGTTAGAGGAAGGCTACTAAACTTCGAATAGGCAAATTTTAGCTTTCCTGAAAATTCTTATACAAGTGATGAACTAAAACTCAGAACTAAAACACTGGTTTTCCTCCAGAAATTCACTGATGGTAACCAGGTCCTGGGCTGGGGCACAAAAGGGCAAAGGAACCTGTGATGAGATTTGAAGAGTGATGTTTCCAAGAACAAAAAACCTGACCTAATCTTGCTACATTTGGTGGCAATTTAACAAAACCAACCAACCAAATAAACAAAAACATTCCCCCCAAAACAAAACAAAACAACCCCAGTAAAATTGAACAAGAAAAAATATTTTATTTGTCTTGAATCATGCTTGGAGAAAAACAGGTGGGGCCAAAGGCAACTTGTAAGTATGGGAGGAGTGGACAGGCTGGTGAAAGGCAGTGGGGAGGAGACCTTCAGCACTCTGGACTCCAGGAGAGGGGCCAGGGGAGCAAGAGCCACACTCTTCCTTCTAAGCAGGTGAGCTGGGCTTACCCTGTAGCCTTTACAGGCTGAGGCAGGGCAGGAAGTTCAGTGGTCAGAGGGAGAACTGGGAAGGATAGAGCTGATACTTGTGTTAGTTATCTGTGTAATGAGGGTGGGGGGGAGAGACAGGTAAGGAGTTTTCAAATCACTCAAAGGCCTACAGGACATGGCAGATGTGCAGTGAGCTACCCTAGGAGGGTGTCTGTCTGTGATACCTGTGTTGAAAACTCACAGGCAGTCATGTGACATGCTGGCCCTTTGGTTCACTGGGGTAGAGGGTCCTTAGCTCACATCCTGTAGGTAGCATGTCCACCCGAGGTCAGGCCTGGAGGGCAGTGGGTACTAGCACCCGCCCCTCCCTCTCCACCTCCCTTTATCTCCCTCAGACAGACCAATGGGCTCTTACGTTGTTCTCCAGGCCCTCGATAACCTCGATACCATTATGGCTGAGGTATAGTTCACGCAGGTTCACCAAGCTCTGCAGACCCTCAATCTTTGTTAGCCGGTTGCTCTGCAGAAGAGAATTAAAAAGTATCAGTCTTGGGGCTGAGGAGATGGTTCAGTGGTTAAAACATCTTCCATTCAAGCTTGAGGACCTGAGTTTGGACTTCTAGAACCCACATAAATGCCAGGTGAGTGTGGTGGCTTGCCTGCGATTCCAGCCTTGGAAGCCCAGAGACAGGGGATCCCTAGAGCAAGCTGGCCAGCAAAACTAACTATATCAATAAGCTCTGGGTTTGACTAAGAGACTCACTCTATGAATAAGGTGAAGAGTGATCAAGGGTGATTCTCAACTTTAATCTGGGGTCTCCACAAGCATACACATAAAGGTGCATGAATACACACATATTCATACCACACACGGGAAAATATTAAAAGATAAGAAAAAGAGCTGTCAGCTACACAGAAGGTGAGAAATACAGTGGCTTTAGAAATGGGGGTTGGGTGTGTAGAGAAATGGTTCGGTGGTTAAGAGCATTGGCTAGTCTTCCAGAAGACCTAGGTTCCATTCCCAGAACCCACATGGCTGCTCACAATCATCTGTACCTCCAGTTCTGGGGTATCTGATGCTTTTTTCTTCCAAGAGCAGCAGGAATACATGTGGTACACTGAGATACATGCAGGCAAAACATCCACTCACACAAAATAAAAAACAATATAGTCGATGGGTGGTGGTGCACGCTTTTAATTCCAGCACTTCCGAGGCAGAGGCAGGCTGATCTCTGTGAGTTCAAGGCCAGCCTGGTCTACAGAGTGAGCTCCAGGACAGCCAGGGCTACACAGAGAAACCCTGTCTGGAAAAACCAAAACAAACAAACAATAAAACAAAACATTTAAAAAATGTTCTTAAATGGGACTTGAGAGAAGGCAGGTAACGTTTTGGGTCTGTTGTACTAGGTTGAATATCACGCATGGGAGTTTGGGGTTTTTATATGAAAATCTCACTTTTTTTTTAGATGTATCTGAAGGTTTACTTGAAGTAATTAAAAAATAGATTTGTCCTGAGTGTGTATGTGCACATGCCCATGGAATGAAGGGTACTTGGAGGTTAGGGGCCAACTTGTAGGAGTCAGATTGCTCCTTCCATCATGTGGGTACTAGGGGTTGAACTCCGGTGGTCAGTTTGGGTGGCAGGAGCTTCTATCTGCTCTGCCATCTTGCTGAACCACTGAATTAATTTAACAATTTAAAAATGTCAAAAGTATCAATGAAAACGTTTTTTATTTTTTGTGTATGGGTGTTCTATCTGCATGTATGTCTGTGTATGTACCATGTGCATGCCTGGTGCTGAGGACAGAAGAGGGTGTTGGAGCTGCCATGTGGGCATTGATCTCTCCAGCCCTCAAGGTATCATGTTTAAAAAAAAAAGAATTATTTAGTATGTATATGTGGGTATACCTGCGGACATCAGACAACTTGCAGGAAGTCCGTTCTCTCCATTATATGGGACCTGGGGAATTGAACTCAGGTCTTCAGGCTTGGCAACAAGCTCCTTTACTCACTGAGCCATTTCTCCTATCCTAACATTTTTGTTTTACAACAAATCGACTTGCACTTCTTTTAGAGTATCTTGCAACTCAATTACAGTTCAAAAACTTCTCTTCGAAGCAGTCTGCAAGGCACTTGTTTTACGTAGTCTAAGAGGTTCCTGTGCCATGACTGGCTGTCAGGTCAGACCTGCCAAACCAGGCACCCCAGGCACACCCTTTAACTCTTCAAGGTCTGAATCTACTAATTTGCTGCCAACCACCCCACCCCCAAGCAAACACAAAACCTCAAAAAACAACAACAAAAATGTCCACATGAGTCAGGCATAGTGGTGCACACCTTTAATCCCAGTACGCAGGAGGCAGAGACAGTTGGATCTCCTGTGAGTTTGAGATCAGCCTGGTTTACAGTGAGTTCCAGGCTAGCAAGAGCTAATAGTGAGACTGTCTTAATTGAAAAACAAAAAACAAAAAACATGAGTCTCTGCATACACTAGTGCTGAACAGAAATGCCCCCAACCCCATGGTCCCACAGGGTCTGCCTTCTCTGTACCACTGAACAGACACTCGAAAGGACTGGAGTGAACTCTCCCTTCTGAAGATGGCGTAGAGTCCACCCACCTATTGTTCAACTGCCAACAAGGAAAGGAAATGAAATTCTTTCATTATTATTTTATGTGTATAAATGTTCGCCTGCTTGTATGTCTGCACATCACATGCTTGCCTGGTGCCCTCAGAGGCCACAAGAGGGTGTTGGATTCCCTGGGACTAGAGTTATGGATATCTGTGAGCTGCCATGTGAGTGCTAGGAAGTGAACCTGGATTATCTGGAAGAGCAGCCAGTGCTCTTAACTTCTGAACCATCTCTCCAGTCCAAGGAATGCAATTCTATCTTTTAAAAATGAAAATAAATTTATATGTGTGGGTGTTTTGCTTGAATGTATGTCTGTCTGTGCACTATCACGTATGTGACTGGTGCCCGAGGAGGCCAGAAGAAATGTGTCAGGTTTTGCGGGAAGAGTTGCAGACAGCTGTGAGCTGCCATGTCATGTCGGTGCTGGGAATCAAACCTGGATCCTCTGGAGGAGTAACTGGTGCTCTTAACCATCTTTCCAGCTCCCCAAACTGAAATCCTTAAAAGTAAAAATAAATTATATAAAAAGAATGGAATTTTTGTTTAGAATATATGCACATGTATAATCTGTGGGTTCTAATGTTTTCATCATCTACTGATTGTGAAACAGTGCTGATCAAGGACATACTATGGGAATAAAACAGGTTGGGTGTGCTGCTGGGTCTGGCCCTGTGGGAATGAGAAGCTGGGAGCTGGAGAGGTCCAGTACCTGCATACTGAGGACTGTTAGGTTCGTAAGTGCATCCAGGTTTTGAAGTTTTGTAATTTTGTTTTTCCCCAGAAACAAACTCTCCAGGTTGGTTAATGTGTCGATATTTTCAATTGCCTGTCAAACAGATGAAACATCAAGTAAAGAATCTAGACCATAAGACAAAGCAATCTAAGACTTCAGCTCTGTGATGTTGGGACTCTAGGAAATTTCCAACAAACTATGCTTTGAATACACATTGTAGAAAAGGAGGAAAACTATGGGGGTTAAAGACTCTGATTCCTGGGCTCACTCCCAATCCTCATACCCCCCCCCCCCCCCCCCCCCGCCCCGCCCCCAACTCTCTGGTTTCTTGAGACAAGAGTTTCTTTGCAAAGCCCTGGCTGTCCTGGAATTCACTCTGTAGACCAGGCTGGCCTCCAGTTCAGATTTGCCTGCCTCTGTCTCCCAAGGCGTATACCACCACCACCACCACCACCCAGCCAACTCTCATAGTTTCAGAGCTCTGGGAATATTTGAAAACTCATACGCTAGCTGATTTCTCTGGCCCAATGTGGCACTTCATTGTACACAGCTTTTGAGATTATGCATCCCCACGAGCCTCGGCCTCTACATAAATGAGGATGCTGGGAACTTGCTCTCAGAAGCCCACGAGGGATGCCCCATGGCATCCCATTCCTCTTCCTTTGCTTTTTCTTGCTGCAGTCACATCTACTTAGCCCTAGCTTTGTACCCTATGGCTCTTGAAGAACCCGTAAGCGCAGGCCACAAAGCGTGGTACAGTACTTCCTAACACCAAATGGGGGGTGCTTCAAACATGGGGTGGCAGACACAGGCATGTTAATACCTGCCTCAGCCACTAAGGAAGAAGAGTGAGGACATGCGCAGCACAATGACACAGGATGTCAAAATAAGGCTCATATAATCTTATGACTGACAAAGTCCTCATGTGTGCCCATGGGGAAGCCACCCTCCTCTGTCTGGCAGACCCTCTTCCAATCTCAGAACCTACATGACCCTCTGAGGTTCCCGTCTGTCAGACATAAGGCACTTTTCCCAGTAGTTATGAGTCAACTGGTAAAAACTTGATATTGCTGGGTATGGTAGTATATGCCTTTAATCCCAGTACTGAGAGATCTCTGTGAGTTCCAGGCCAGTCTGGGCTATAAGACCCTATCTCAAAAGACTTAGTTTAGAAGCCAGGTGGTGGTGGTGCACACCTTTAATCCCAGTACTCAGGAGGCAGAGCCAGGCGGTTCTCTGAGAGTTCAAGGCCAGCCTGGTCTACAGAGCGAGATCCAGGACAGGCCCAAAGCTACACAGAGAAACCCTGTCTCAAAAAACCAAAATAAACAAACAAACATAAATAAATAATAAAAAAATAAAAGACTACTTAGTTTAGTTTCTGTGGAACACTGTATCTTTTTTTTTTTAAAGGCATCTCATTTTCATTCTGACCCATGTTTTCAAGGTCAAATGGATCTTGAACAGCAAACCAAATCCTGCCAACGGACATATTTAGGAGATGAAGGGCCAGCCCAACGTTTTGGGGCATTTTAGCAGCAAGATACTTGCTTATCACATGACAGATCACTGCAAGTAACCACCCTCCTAGGCTTGGGAAGAAAACCACTATGAACAGGTTTAAAGGAAAGCTTAAGTTGGCTTATCTTATGATGCACAGCTGGAACTAGCTTGGCACAGGACCATGATACAGATACCAGACTAGACCAGTTGGTGTGAGCACAGTTCTTATTAATTAATACTGGCTTCCAAGGCTCACATAATCAACTAACCTGAGCTTATAGCGGCTCACAGAGACTAGACTGAACTGACAACCAGGGAGCCTGTATGAGACTGACCTAGGCACTCTGCATATATGTTACAGTTGTGTAGCTTGGTTCTCTTATGGGACTCCTAACAGCAGGAACAGGGGCTGTCTCCTACTCTTTTACTGGTTTTTTGGACCTACTCCTCATACTGGGTCACCTTGCCCAGCCTTAACACATGGGGAGGTGCTTAGTCTTACTGCAGCTTGATACACCATGTTTTATTGACACTCATAGGAGACCTGCCCTTTCCTGGATGGGTTGGAAGAGGAGGGGATGGGGGGGCAGGGTTGGGGAATGGGAAAAAGGGACTGGGAGGGGAAGATGTGGGGAGACCGTGGCTGGGATGTAAAATAAATAGATGAATAAAAAAAAATACTGGCTTCCAGGTAGCAGTTTTCCTGAACTATTTCCCTGTGTCCTCCAAACAATAAGAACATAAGAAAGCCTCAGCCGAGCACATACCCTATGCATACCACTGCAGATCCACCTATACTTACCCGGATGCGGTTCGAGCCCAGCTCCAGCATCTGCAGTTGATGTAAGGTACTTATGTTCTCAATTTTATTGATCTTATTGTTGACCAAGAAGAGTTTTTTCAGCTGCGTCAGTTTGTCAATCCCTTCAATGTTCCTCAGCAGATTAAAAGAAATATCCAGAATCCTGGAAAGAAGCAAAATATTTCTTGAAAGATCACAGACTGTATAGAATCAGAATTCCACTTGGAAGGATATCTGCCTCCAGGATCTGCAGTCACTAGGAGGTGGGATCTGACCACGGCCCCACCGCTCACCGACTGGCTCACACTGGAGCTGACCTATGGGACCATGAAGTTGTCTGGTACCTGGAGGGCAGTAAAGGCAACCTGTAGGCTACCAACACTGTCTCCTAAGGGTTCTACTCTTACAGTAGAAACCAGGTTTCATTTATGCCCATGTCCATGGCAGACCCTAATACCATGTTCAACCTGGGCGGTGTTGGATTAAAACTGAAGCAAATAAAAATCAAAACAGATGGGCATGGTGGCACATGTCTGTAAGGCCAGTACTGGAGGGGTGAAGGCATGAGGCTCAAGATTCAAGATCATCCTCAGTTACAGAGAATTCAGCTTAGCCTGGGCTACATCTGACACATACTCTCTTTCTCAAAAAAAAAAAAAGGCCAGCACCAACAAAGGAATGAAGTCCAGATAAGGCTACAGCCAAGTAAGGCTGATCCCTTTAGTCCAAAATGTGGCTGACACTTTTGTTTTTAAAAGAGGCGATTATGGATTAAAGCTCCTATCTTCCCAATTCTGACATCATTATTGAATGGAACCCAGCCAGAAGCCTAGTTCCAGCCTTCAACGCTAATGGCACATATGAGGCTGTTGCCTCCTCTTAGAGCTCTAGCACAGGGCAGCCCTCCAGGACTACAGCCAGGCAGTGGGTAGGTTCTAGGGAACCTGGACACCCAACCCATCCCATCTCCTCTGGTCTCTCTACTCACTCCAATTCTGTCAGCGCCTCCAGATTCTCAATCTTCTTGATCTGATTATCATAGAGATCCAGTTCTCGAAGACTCTGCAGTTCCTCCAGGTTCTCAATGCATTTAATTAAGTTTTGACGGAGGCACAGTGACTGGAGGGTAGGAAGAGGATCAGCATCAGCAAAGGAGAACATAGGGCTACCCTCCAGGGGCTGTTTTATGCTGATCATCAAGGGGCAGGTGAGTGAGAGTAGGAAGCTGGAGTTAGCCTCCTTTACTTGAGGACAAGTGTAGCCCCAAAGGGAAGCCATACTGAGTACACCTTTTTGGGGAGGGAGGCACTCACTAGGGTTGGAGTGTAAGTCAAGTTCTCACAGTTGGAGGGACCTTTACTGGGCTCCATTTTCAGAAGTAAACTTCACTGCAGTGAGCTAGGACAGGAGACTGCAAGTGCTCACCAAGGTACCATCAGAACCCAGACAGCCTGGAGCTCCTCAGCTACAGGAAAACACCTATCCCATCAGAATAGAGACAGAATATAGGCCAGTGCCACCCACAGGAAAAGAATAAGGATTATGTATATTCTCCAGGTAAATGTTACCAAGTCACCTTGTGTGCAAGGACAGATCCCTCTCACCTTCACTTTCTTCAGCACCTCAAAGCCTTCAATCTTTCCAATGCGATAGTGATTCAGATCAACATCCTGAAATATAGAGGAATCTTGCTCAGATCCATCGGAGTTACTGGAGACCTGGCCAGAAGCTGCTTAGGAGAATGCCAGATGGGGAGGTAAGGGAGAGGCTGTGGTGCTAAGCAGATCCACTTGTGATTGGCAGGTCGATAGTCTTCAGTTTAGTTGTGATTTATGTTAGTTTTATGTATAACTGACCCAGTAGTGGTTGTCTGAATTCAATTCCCTAGCGACTGGCTGAACACACACATGGACATGGATGGACATAGACACATACACATACACACACACACACACACACACACACACACACACACACACACACAATTTTTCCAAAATTGGGAGTTGGGAGGACCCTACCATCAACAGCATGACTACTGGACTTGTCTAACTCGAATCAAAAGCATTTCATTTGTCACACAGTTCTTACTGCCTAAAGAGAAATAGATTTCAACTGCTGGTATTAAAAATAGTAAAAATACAGACCACCAAACCAATCAAAAGAGGCTTGGGTGATCTTTCTAGTCACTGATCTGTCACCCTTATAAAAGATAAGCTGATGGTTAGGGTCATCTGTAACCAGGCCCCCTGAGGCTGAGTCAGGCAGGCAGCATTACCTCTGCATCTCGGTCCAGGCTGATGGTTTCCATATCCACTGCCAGCTCATGTTCCTCTAAAAACAAACAAACAAAAAGGAACAATTCTGTTAATAAGAATCAGTGGCCACAGGTTTTAGTAAAGAGCTGCTACTCTGCCCTAGGGTTGTAGAAGTTTTTTTCCGGGGGACACTAAAAATGAGAAGGTGATAGCAAGGCCTCCAAAAGTCTATCTGTGCCTCCAACTTCCCAAGAAGCCAAAGGCGGCTTGAAGCTCTTGGTGGGAAGGAGGAAAACAGCTGCCTGCGTCTTGGTGAACTCAGTGAAGCCTAGTCATTGCTGGGAAGCATGTCCCCACCATGGCTGTCCCCTTGGAATCCCTGGAGTTTGTGTTGCCAGAAGCCTATCCACCCATGTATTCTTCCCCCTCTATTTGTGGCAATAAATTGGGCCACTTGAATACAGCTCATGCTGGGCCTAGTACATGTTCTGGGATGTGCCTTTTACTGCTTTGGAAAGTAGCCCAGCATCTACAGATGCTTCCCTGACAGAGAGGGAAACAAAATGAAGCAGAGCTCAACAGACAGGATCAAAGAGCTTCAGTGAATAATTTAAGCATACTTCTCAATTGGAAGCCTGGTGAACTAATTCCAGCAGAGAAGCCCATTTGGATGTCATGAGACTATCCACCCTAGAGAGCCAGATATAAACTGCTTCCTGCTGCAGTGGAGAGCCTTCATCAGAACCTGATTAAGTATGATATTGAAAGAACTAAGACACACAGAAATGCAAATACATGTACACACATCCCCAAACCCTTGAGATTAATAGCATTTCCCCCACCACCAAAGTGTCACCCACTTTTCCCAGCAGTCTTATAATTTTTCCCTTAGTTTGTACTAATTGGCATCCAAATAAAGCTACCTATTTTGACTGGATCCCCACCCCACCCATTTTCTTTTAGACAGGGTTTCACTCTGTAGCTCAAGCTGGCCTTGAACTTTCTTAAATGTTTATTTTATGTGCATGGGTGTTTTGTCTACATTGTATGCCTGTCCCCCACTTGAAAGGCCAGTAGAAGGTCTCCTGGAACTAGAGTTACAAGGAGGTTGTGAGCTGACATGTGGGTGCTGGGAACTGAATTCACGTCCTCTGGAAGAATAGCCAGTGTTCTTAACAACTAAGCTCCAGCCCTTAGCCTTGAATTTTTTTTTTTTTTGGTTTTTTGAGACAGGGTTTCTCTGTGCAGCTTTGCACCCTTCCTGGGACTCACTCTGTAGCCCAGGATGGCCTCGAACTCACAGAGATCCGCCTGCCTCTGCCTCCCGAGTGCTGGGATTAAAAGGGTGTGCCACCACTGCCCAGTTCTTAAGATACTTTTTATTTTGAAACTTTCTGTAGGAAAGTTTCTGTAGGAAAGACTGCTTTTTTTTAGTGCCTCTTTGAGTCTAAACTCTTCTGTCCCAGAATACTCTCTTTCTCCCCTCTATTTCCTTTGACTTCTTATCACTTACTATTGTTTTTTGCCTAGGCCCCTTTTCCTTTTCTTTTCCTTCGGACACACATGTACTTGCACCTTACAGTGGAGCCAGCTTACACACTCTTGACCTCAGCCCACGTCTGGCTCCTCCAAACATTAGCAGACTCTGTGCTGGTCAGCCCATTTCCTCACTGGAGGCCTTAGAGAAGCGTGTGGCAGGGGGCCAGCTTAACAAAGAAGAACTGGCCCTACATGGCTGAATTCACTTCACTGACTTTCCATGATGCTTTTCTACAGCAATCAACAGTACCCAACTAAAATATGTTGTTTTCTGGTGTTTACCTAGAATTTATAGTATACGAACCAATCTGTATTAAATAAATGGAACCAGACAAACAAGAAAACAGTACGAGTCCCCTTCTCCTCAAAAGACAGCAGTAATTCACTGTCTATAAGCTCAGGAAGTTGTGACAGGAAGGCACTAGAACTAAGGCAAATAGCCAGGCCACTGGTGTCCAAGCCAGACACTGTGCGACTGAAAGCAGGCATGACTGGCCGCAGCACTGGGCCAGAAGGTGGAACTGGGGCTATCCTAGGCTTCTCAGGATATGTGCTGCACAGCCAGTTTCCTGTCTACCACAGCATCCAGCATGGCTTAGGGGTCTAGGGACATAGCTCAGCTGCAGAGTCTTGCACAGCAAGTGTGAGGAAGCCCTGGGCTCAATCCCTAGTACTGAAGACAAAAAGGAGAGGTGGTTTGGGAGACGGCTTAGTTAGTGAAGTGTCTGTGCAAGCACAGGACCGAGTTAGATCTCCGGAACCCACATAAAAACGCTGAGCATGGTGGTGTACTTGTAATCCCATCACCTGAGAAGCTGAGCCTAAGTGGAATTTCCAGGCCAGTAAGAGACCTGCCTCAGAAACAGTAAACTGAGGAGCAACACCTGAGTCTGTCTTCTGGCATCTACATGCATACATACATACCTGAACACATATACACTTCACAAACATGAACATGTACATATATATACATATACAAGTTAGGAAAAATAGAAAGGTAATAACTGTCATGTTTGAATGTGTTTTGCTGAAATTTAGATAACTATGAGCAGTTTCAGTTTTTTTAAGGAGTAGAAATACATGCTCCCAGAGAATTACTATATGTTCTTTCTAGTCATCTGGAGGTAAGAGCATGGACTTCAGTAGGCTGGGCTTCAGCCCAACTGGCCTGCCTTGCAGTAGAGATCTCTGGCTGGCATGAGACTTTTTTATTTTCCTCACCTATCACACATTAGAGTTCTCTTACAGTGAGTGACCCATCCAAGTAACACAGCTAGCCAGGAAACGAAGCCCAGGACCATGCTGCTCTAAGTTCCAAGTCTTCCAGGTAGCCTAATGTTTCAGTGGCACAGATCTCAGTCCTCCCATGATCAAATCGAATGATGATAACAGCGCCTATTTGCTCTATCCACCCACATCACCTCCAGAATATCAGCTCTGAAGTTCCAAACTAACTGTGGTGGGTACTTCTGTGGTAATCTCCTTTTGCCTTAAAATTTGGTTACCATAGCTACGAATCATCTTTGCTGGCACACAGTGCACAATGCTATTTTTAAAAGTAGCTATGTTTTTACAAATTTATTTTTATAAAGGTAATGCATAATTATGAATACCTGAAAAATCCACACAAATCTGGAAAACGTAAGAGGCAGTTTCCTCTCAAGCCTGCTGCTAAAAGAGATCCTCAGCAATGCTAATGTGTTTTCTTTTTAAACAAGTAAAACTAAATTCTCATGCTTTTTAACTAAAAATTGTATTTTAAGATACATACTACTTGAAATTTGCCTTCCCTGCCCAACAATTCAGCTGGGACATTTTCGTGTGGTTATGTTTTCTGTCATTCTTTTCCACGTAAACTGATTTTCAGAGCAAACACAGAAGCATAGGCCATTACCAAGGAGGGTATAAAACCACCATAGGAAGCTGTTCAGTTCCAAATGGAGTGATTGTCCTAACATCTGTGCTTGTGACAGATGATTCTCAGGCCTATATAAATGTCGAGGTGGATGTGGGCATAGTATCACACACTCTTAATCCCAGCATTCGGGAGGCGGAGGCAGAGGCAGGCAGATCTCTGAGTTTGAGGCCAGCCTGGTCTACATAGTAGTTTCAAGACCAACCAGGGCTACAGAGTGAGAAGAGCCTGTCTCAAAAAAGAAATGTTGAGGTTGGATCAGAAATGATTTTTTCATCACTGTGGCAGGATACAGAAGCATAGCAGTAAACCACCATGCTCTTTTCTAATTTTGTTTTCTGAGTAAAGTATTAAAAATCATTTTCTGACTCTGCTCTAGGTAACACATTAGTGCCAATATCACCAGTAGTAGTTCTGTCCCTTCAGCAGAAATGGATCTACTGTACCCATAAATGTAAATCATTATAGGTAGTTGCTGAGGCAGCACCCCAGGGAGCAGGCTGCCCTCTGCCAGCCTGCCCAGCTGCCCACTCTACTGAGGACCTCTGAAGAACACACCTCCTCCCACGAGGAGACACCATGTGCAAAGAAGCAGCAATCTTCAACAGCACACTCCCCCTATGTTGAGTTCATGGTGAACTATGCCCGGTACCTTCTGGGTCCTCCGCCCCCCGTTCTACTCCGTCCTTCAGGCTCTGCTCGCTGAGGTCTGTCACGATGCCACCGACATGCTTCTTCCCTTCCTCATCGCCGGATTCTTCAGATTCAACCCGCCTGTCAACTGAACCCATACATATCAGTGAGAATTCACATCCACTTCATGTGACAATGTGAGGAACACAGAACAGATTAGCACAAGTTTTAAGTCAGCAAGACTTCTTTCTGAAATAGCTGAATTCAGTTTATATGAACACTTGAATGTCTTCTATGCCCCAGCACTATTTAAGATATAGAGACAAGAACCAGGAGGCCACATGGGCACAATTAACATGCTGTCCTTCCCCTCTAAGAACTTGTAAGGAACTGCCAAGTGTTCCAAAAGCCTCTGGACCATCTGCAATCAGGAACACTAATGGCACCACACAGTGAGGTACCTTCCAGGTGGCCCTCACATTGTCCACCTGATGTCTACCACAAGAGGGGACCACAGTGAACCTTCTGCCACACACCTTCATTGATGTCCCACTAGCCATGTGGCCAAGAAAAACCGATTCAATTTACAGGCCCCCATTCTGAAAGAAAGCAAGACTAGCTAAAATCAGACTGTGGGCAGGGAGGACAGCCGATGAAAATGAGAATGTGTCCGAAGTGCCAAACGCCCCAGGTAAACTGCTGATGTTAAAAGATCACAGGACAGAGTGTTATCAATGCAAAGCTTTTTGGAGTAAATAAACAGGTTTTGAGTTATGAAGAAAGCAACAATGAAATGTGGCTTTGGCAAATGATCTTCCTTTCTTAACCGTAACATTCACATCTGTAGGAGAGTTAGTAACAAGCCCCCCACCCCACCCTGGTCAGGATCAAATGAGAAAGGGCACATGAGTGGCTCATGTGTATGACATGGGGAATGTATGAGTTACCAAGAGGCACAGGACAGTCTGTGATCCAGGATTAGGGAAACTGGGTGCTGTGTTATAGTCTCTGCACCCCCCCCCAGGAGGAGCCAGAGGACAGAAGGGACAGTCAGTGCAACCTGTGCCTCCATCCTCAGGGCACCAGAGGTTCTGGAGCCTGGACAGTGACAGGCTAACAAAAGGCAATAAAATCTATCCAAAGGAGGAGGGTTTGAGTTGAGGTACTGGCTGTGATAGACAAGGGGACAAATCATGGAGCTCAATGAGCATGGTGGCCCATTACTTAAATTCCAGCACTTTGGCAGACTGACCTGGGTGGAGCTCTATGAGTTCTAGGTCAGCCTGGTCTACACAGCAAGCTCCAGGCCAGCCAAAGCTACACAGTGAGACCCTATCTTAAAAACAAACCAAAGCCACAACCCCCCTTCCTGCTGGGGGGGAGGCGGGGGGAAGACACGGGGCTCTAGAAATCTAAGTGTCAGCTGGTAATGACATGTGTGGGAGTAGAGGAGAGAAAAGCCTGGTTTTTGTATTTGCCCTTTACTGAGAAACGGAGGAAGAAGGGGGAGGAAGGTACTGCAGGAGGGAGGGAGGGGATAGGAAGAAGCATTTCCTTGCTTAGAAAAGATTCAAAGGTAAAATAAAACAAAACAAAAGCCCAGCATGACTCCCTTAAAGGCTCTCCAAGACCTTTTCTGGGAAGCCTTGCTGGCTGTCCCAACCCCCATCTCATATGACTTAATTTAGGTCAAACTCTTTTTCCATACTCCTTTGCTTTCGACTGGGTTGCCTTTCTCCGGAATGGTATTGGTCCTCTCCATCTGTCCCCAGTCTGGATGACATCTAGTGATCCTTCAAGGCCCAACTCAGGGCAGCATCACCATTCTCAAACACACTGGACTTTTCTTCCACACCCGTTCCTTGCTCTGCAGCCCTCTTCCCTAGCACTCTTCTCAGAAAAGTGACTGCGTGACTGCTTTTCCAGAAGTAACACTCACCAAAATAGAGGAGTCTTTAAAAGGCATTTAAGGGTTCAGATTCGCCTGATGCTACAATGGGTATACGAGTGTGTGTGTATGCATACATATATATGCATACACCTATGTATATACCTATAACACACATGTGCACACATGTAACGACTGTGTATCTACACAACTGTGTACAAAAACATGCACATATGTAATGTATATATTTATATATGTATATGATGACACAATCCAACAGTGTCTTAAAAAAGGAAGAAAGCTGAAATTAGTTCTTTCAAGACTCTGAACGTCTAGAAAACAAGACACCGCCTCCTAAACTCAATCTCCGAACCTCCTTGTTACCCATCGCTCTGCCACAACCCATTCGCTTCCAGAGCAGACGCTTTTCCATCCATGCCGCGTGAATAAACTGTGGACTTTGCAGGTCCCCACGCCTGAAACCTCAGTTTCCCAATGAGCTGACAGTCCCCCGCCCCCTCGCCTCTCAATGTCGGAGCTTAAAGACTAGGTTCCCACAGTCGCGGCTTCCACGTCCGTCCCCCTTCCCTGGGCCGCCTCGCGCCACGTTGTTCCCGGGGCTCTGGTCCTTCCTGGCCGCTGCCGCCCTCGGGCCGGGGCTCCCGGGCTCCGAGCCTCCCCCGCCCCGTCCAGCCCGGTTGGCAGCTGTCAGAGATCCGTGGCTGTGGCCAGAGGCTGGAGTCCGAGCTCTGATCCGGCAAGAGGCCGTGCCCGCCCAGCCCCCAGCTCTCCGCTCCCCGGTCGCCCGCAGGGGCCGCTCACCCTCCATCATCTCCTGCGACTGTTGCTGCCCCGCGCTGCGCTCCGCCGCCATATTGGCTGCTCTTCCCCTTTCCGGAATCTGTCGCCTCAGGCCATGGGCCAATCAGGACTCCCGGCTCTGCCAGCCAGCCAATGGGACCGAGCATAGAAGCGCGAGCCGACACGCTTGCGTGGACGCAGTGCTTCATGGGAGTTGTAGTTTCCCGCAGGCCCGCCGGCTCCACCTGAGCTAGGTGTTTGAGGAGTGAGTGGAGTCTAGGAGAGCAGGGCGATAACTGACTTCCCGGCAAGGCAACAGGCAGCATGGGAGACACTTCAGGCTTGCGAGTTCGCCCAAGTCATCGTGCCGACTTCGGAGGCGAGGAGCTACTGCGGCCAGGAGAGCTCTACAGGCTACAGGTGAGGCAGGTTAGACTTGCATCCCCGACCTCGGGAGCCTCGCTGATGTGTGTCTGCACGACGGGCCGGTAGGCTAGGGAGACCGCTTTGCTCCGCGCCTGCGCGTTGATTTACTGGTGCCACGGGCCGCTTTTCGCGGATGCTCGGAGCAGGAGGGAGGGGCCGCGGTCCGGCTCGGGGGCGCACGTTCGCCTCCTCCAGCTCACGGAGAACCACCGCATCGTCCGCTCCTGCCCCACCCTCCAATAACGTGGTCGTCGAAAGGTGGGCTGGGCGTCGCTCACCTTCCTCGGTTCCGCTGTGGGAGTAAACGGCAGTCCCTTGGCGTGGGTGGTGGGTGGCAGAGAAGTCGGTCTCTTTTGGCTCCTTGGAGGCTCGGTAGGGGGGCGTCCGGTGAGTCCCTAGCAACCGTTGCGCGCGCTCTGCCGCTCGCATTCACTGAGGCCCGCCCATAGGGGTGTCTGGTTGGTTCTTGTCGCCTGTCACTCTGCGCACTTCGTTCTGCGATTGGTCGGTGGGCTAGAAGCGCGCGGGATCTTCGCGTTGTGAATCTGTCTAGGACTTTCGCCGGCCTCAGGTGAGACTCTAGTGTTCGAAAGAGCTCTTGTGGGTGGCGGCGAGGCGCGGTCTCACGCAGTTGTGGAGCGGCTCTGGCTCTTAGCTCGCGCGCCACACTCCTTCCTTCCGGCCCCGGTCCGGGGTGGTGGCGGGTTCCGGCCGTTTGACCCGCGCACAGGAGCCGCCAGCACCGGAATGTCCCCTGCTGAACTGCAAGCTTTTTTTTTTAGGTCAGGCTAGCGGGCCAGTGAGCTCTGGGGATTCACTTATCTTCACCCCCTAATGCTGGATTGCAGGTACGTGCATCCTTGCCCGGCTTTTTAAGTGATTAAAGATTTAAACTCAGGTCCTCACGTTTGCATAGCAAGGGCTTTTAACACAAGGAACTATCTCCCTAGTTCCTGTATTACTTTTAAAATAAAAATTTGTAGCGTTCACCATTTATTTTGAAGAATGGTACCTTTTTTTTTTTTTTAAATAAATTAAGGTTTCATAGCAATGTATTCTGAAGTTACACAACTTCTAAAAAACAAAGCCAGGTTTGTTGACATTGGCAGTGAGCCATAATTAAATGTCCTGAGCTTTGTTTATAGGTTGGTTCTAAAAGCAGAAAACCACAGTGTGATCATATCATTGTTTGCTGTAGCAATAATTAGTGCCTTTAGATACCTAGAGAAGATGTACACCTTTGACATTAAAACGCTGCTACTTGAAGGAAAGTCCTACGTTCTAAAAATTTCTGTCTCCTACATATCTATATTTTGTTTGAGACAAGGTGGTGTGTCATATAGGCTTGAACACTCTATATAGCTACTTTTATTTCATTTTGAGCTGTTGCTCTCTAGGATCACATAACTGAGTGTATGTGCCTTTGTATGTAACACTCAAAATAAGGCAGATAGTCATTATACATTATCAGTAGAGGGTTTACCTAACATGTGGATAGCTCTGGGTTTAATACTCACCTCCACACAAAAATAACAGTTGTCAGGCTGATGGTACCTTCCTGCCTTCCCAGCACTTCTAGTGCCCCTGGAGACCTCAAAAAAAAGGAAACAAAGCCCTGCAGTTTGGGCTCAGCAATATGGCTGCGGGGGAGAGGGGGGGCGGCGGCGGAGGTAAAGACACTTGCTGCTGAAGTCTGACATTTGGGTTTCCTACCTGGGACCCACTTAGTAGAAAGTTGTTTGCTGACCTCCACACATGGGCGCTCTCTCGTGCCCGCTCTCTCATGGGCTGTCGCTCTCTTTCTCTGTCACTCTGTCACACACACACACACACACACACACACACACACACACGATGAAAATGCATTAACAAGTCATGCATCGTAATGAGAATAAAATGAGCACTGGAGAGATGGCTCAGCAGTTAAGACTTAGGCTCAGTTCCCAGCGCCTACATGGTGACTCAACTGTCTGAACCTAGTTCCTGGAATCTGATGCCTCTTCTGAGTTCTTCAGGCTGCTACATGTATATGGTGCATATACATACAGAGACAGACAGACAGAATCTGATGCCTCTTCTGAGTTCTTCAGGCTGCTACATGTATATGGTGCATATATATACAGAGACAGACAGACAGAATCTGATGCCTCTTCTGAGTTCTTCAGGCTGCTACATGTATATGGTGCATATACATACAGAGACAGACAGACAGAATCTGATGCCTCTTCTGAGTTCTTCAGGCTGCTACATGTATATGGTGCATATATATACAGAGACAGACAGACAGAATCTGATGCCTCTTCTGAGTTCTTCAGGCTGCTACATGTATATGGTGCATATACATACAGAGACAGACAGACAGAATCTGATGCCTCTTCTGAGTTCTTCAGGCTGCTACATGTATATGGTGCATATACATACAGAGACAGACAGACAGACATATATGGTGCATATACATACAGAGACAGACAGACACACACACACACACACTCACACACACTCACACATGTACACGCACACACGCGCGCGCGCGCGCACACACACACACACACACACACAGAAGTATTAAAAAAAGTAAAACAAATACATTTAAACCCACCACTCAACTTAGAAAGTAGGAGACTGTCCCATTTTGCCTCCTAATTTTAGTGCTCTGTCAGATTCAAGGGAACCATCTGCCTGAAGCACGGGTTTTCTTTCAGTCTTGGTGAAGTGTTATCCTGTGTGTGTATATTTTTAAGCAGTGTATTTAGATTTTTTTTTATATTAAAAGAAAGGAATCTTCTTGCACATAGCCTTTTGTAATTGGAAGTTTTTCACTTCTTATACTGGTAAGATTCATTCTTTTTTTGTTCTTATTTAGTTTTTCAAGACAGGGTTTCTCTTTGTCACAGCCCTGGCTGTCCTAGAACTCACTCTGTAGCCCAAGCTGGCCTCGAACTCACAGAGATCCACCTGCCTCTGCCTCTCGAGTGCTGGGATTAAAGGCAGGCATGTGCCAGTTTAAGATTGGTTCTTGTACACAGTTCTTTTGTTTCCGCTGCTGATTATACCAGAGCTTTCTTCTTCAGAGTTTTTTTTTTTTTTTTTTGGTTTTTCGAGACAGGGTTTCTCTGTGTAGCTTTGAGCCTTTCCTGGAACTCACTTGGTAGTCCAGGCTGGCCTCGAACTCACAGAGATCCTCCTGGCTCTGCCTCCCGAGTGCTGGGATTAAAGGCGTGCGCTACCACCGCCCGGCTCTTCTTCAGAGTATTTAAGTTGTTTTATTTTCTTTTTGCCTGTTCTCTCTGGCTCCCTCCTTCCCTTCTCTCTCCTTGCCTCCCTGCCTTTCTTCCTGACTGGTTTACCAGCCTTCACCTTTGTCAAACCATGCTGGCCTGAATTGTCATTGTCTATCTTGCTGTTATGTGCATGGATTTCTCTAGCTGGGTCTCTGCAGTGTAGCCTCTCAGGAAGTTTTCTTTCTCAGTTGGTTTGAAGATAGCATATTTGATAGATGTAATTTTGAATAACTTTGGGCCTGCATTTAGCATTCTTTGCTTCTCAGAAGGTTACTAGGACATAATGTTTTATGGAGTTGGGGTCACATTGGCTCGCTACTGGAGTCTCTGACCTGTAGTATGAATCTTAAAGGTACTTATTAATAAAATCAAACCTGAGGCCAGTTATTGGGGTGAATGCTGGAAGATCAGAGAAGCAGAACACGCCACAGCTTCCTCACCTCGACAGTTCCTCAGCTGATCCTGTTTCCTCAGACTGGAAGCTTCTATGTCCTTATCCAAATGGCTCTCAGCTGAACTGCTGCTTGAAAGCCTGAAGCTTAACCAGCCAAATGCTTCTGGTTTCTGATCTTCACGCCTTATGTATCTTTCTGTTTTTGCTGTCACTCCCTGGGATTAAAGACGTGAGTCACCACCATGGCTGTTTCCAGTGTGGCCTTGAACTCACAGAGATCCAAAGGGATTTCTGCCTCTGGAATGCTAAGATTAAAGGTGTGAGTGCCACCATTTTCTAGCCTTTGTATCTAGTGGCTGTTCTGTCTCTGACCCCAGATAAGTTTATTAGGGTGCATGTAGCTGGAGAATTTTTCTCCAGCTCCCACTGCCAAGTCCCACCAGTCCCGGGGCCCACTTACAAAATAAACACACAGAATCTTACATTATTTAAACTGCTTGGCCATTAGCTCAGGCCTATCATTGTCTAGCTCTCACTCTTATATTCAGCCCATTTCTATTAATCTTTACTTTGCCACGTGGCTCGTGGCTTACTTTACATCTTCCTTGTCTTGGCGGTGGCTCCAGCCGGTCTCCCTTTTCTTCCTCCTTCCTCAATTCTCTTCTCTCCTTGTCCCGCCTATACTTCCTGCCTGGTCACTGGCCAATCAGTGCTTTATTTATATAGAGCGATATCCACAGCAGGTGCACAATATTTTGGGGAACACAATACCACCACACTGACCTGCTTTAGAGGTTGTAAGATAGCTCTCCTCTGATTTCAGTTCTTGTCATTGTTACCTTTTGGAAGTTCTCCCTGTGTGTGTCTCAGAATGTACGGGATGGTATTCTTGGGGAATGCTGGTTGTTACAAAATACATGGTTTGCTCAGATCATATTCTAGCCTTGACTTTTTCTTTCTTCTTTTTAGAAGATCAAAGTTCATGTTATATTTTAATTTTGTTATTATTGTATGTGTATATGGTGTGTGTGTGTGTGTGTGTGTGTGTGTGTGCGTGTGCGTGCGTGCGCGTGTGCATGTGCATGTATGTACATAGGTGCAGGGGAGGTCAGAGGACAACTTTGTGGAGGTGGCTTTCTCCTTCCATACATTCCAGGGATTAAGCTCAGGTTATCAGGCTTCCCAGGGCAAGCATGTTTACCTGCTAAGCCATCTTGCTGGCTCTGCATTTTCTTGAATTTTTATTTCCTGTTCTTAAATTCACCCAGAACTAATTTTTCTATAGAGGAAGACATAGGATGCAATTTCTCTCCAAATTATGTAACTATTTAAAACTAGCAAATCCCAGTTAGTAAGCATTTGGTCTCAGTTCTAATTTGGCTGTTGAAATCCTGCAGGAGTGCTATGGGGTGTGAGTTACTGTTATCCTCATTTTATGTGGCAACTAATACTTGAAGGCCACGTTATCTGTTCAGTGCAATTGTGCTGGGGGAGACCTCATGGATTTTCCATGTATATGAGGCTTATATTTCTCGGTCTGCTTCTGAAATTTACCATGTCCTGTTGTCCATTTATTTACTTTGTGTAGCTTCGTGGAATGTAGTAATGTCAGCGTTTTGTTCTTTCTGTGTAAGGGGCCCGCTCTGCTGTGCTCAGGATCTGTTGGCTAACTAAGGTCCATAGACTCATGAATATATCCGACACTCCACTGTGATCGACTTGTGACCAAGTTATAATGAAGCTCACAACCTGTTCATTCCAGCAGGTGCTCTTCACCCCTCCTATGTTGTTAAAGAAGTGTCTTTTTTCTTGGCTGGCCTTGAACTTACTATGTAACTGAGGATGTCCTTGTACTCTTGCCTCCACCTCTCAATAGCTGGGATTACAGAGGTGTATCACAACACCTTACTTAAGCTTAAAAAGACTGTGTGATCACCTTAAAAGCCAGTATACAATTTGAGGGCTCGGCTCCTAGGAGCTCCTTACTAGATGGGTGGTTTGTAAGAGTAGGTGCCTGTCCCTTCCTAGATGTCACAGGGCATGACCTCCTGCTTGTCCCAGCTTGATCTTCCTTGTAAGGCAGTTTCTCAGCTGATTCTCAGGTCTAAGTGAGCTAGTGTGAGAATCCTGTATAGGAAAAGGCTGACATGGACCTCAGAAGTGTGTGCCAGGCTGTTTGTTCATGAACTATGAGGTTTTTGGAATGTAACCTAGAAGAAAGGGCTCATGCTTAAGGTGGGCATATCTTGGCCCTGTGGTCTCCTTGTCATGGGAGTTGTCCTGATGCTGGCCGCACAGTGTGTTCTTGTCTCCATCAGTCACTAGGTGGGCCTTGCTCACTCCTGGCAGAGTACTTTCTTCTTAGTGGCTGACTGTGGAGTGGCCTTAAGCATGGGGAACTGTTAAATATACAGTTATGATTGACATTCTTAACAGTAAGATGAATGGGGACACTCAGTGTGTCCACTGTGGGAAGTTCTGAGAGTGAGCACATGGGACAAGACTACCGGAACTCAGCCTACACACTGGAGGGTGGATTAACTTGTGAGAGTAAGGTTAGTTTCCTAGTGTGACACCATGTTGTAGCTCTGGAATGTGTTGCCACTCTTAAACTCAGTGACGGCAAGGGGATTTTTCTGTATTTGAGTCTACCTTTATGTCAGAATAAGGAGTTGAAAACAACACATCTCCTGTCTTAGTTGTGATGTGGTCTTACTTTTGGTGTATGCTTCAAGGTGCTCTGTGTGTGACTGGTTCTTATGGCATCCAGAAAGACCTTGGTCTGGGAACATCTCCTCACATGTGGACCTGCATTTCCCGCTTTCTCTTGTGACCCCTCCCACTGCATTCCTTGTACCCTTTATACTTCCCTTTTTGTTTTCCCATGCCTCTCTGTGTATTTCTCTGAAAAAACTTCTTGTTCATAGGATTGGGCTGACGATCCTCACTCTACAGGTCCTGACCTGGGATGCCAGTACTTCGGCTGGCTTGACTGTTCTGTCTTCTGTACTGCAGACCTTCATCATACATCCTTTGTTTTCTAGGTGACAGCTGTTGGAGGCGGGAGCTTGGTGACCAGTTGGCCTGCTCTCCATGGAGGACGGAGGTCCACCTGTTTTTGCTGAGGACTGGAGATACTTGTCTGGGAGTCCTCCTGCCCAGGAAGGTCCAGCTACCCAGGCCTCCTCTGAGCTCAGCAAGTCACTCTCCATAGCCCATAGACACCTGAGCAGGAAGAATGGGCTTTCTAGACTTTGCCAGAGCCGGATGGCACTTTCTGGTAATCACCTTGTGATGCTATGAGCATCAGCCTTATAAACTGAAAATGTGGAGCTCTTTTGTCAGAGACCAAAAGATGGTTTATGTTTTCTTGCCAGGGAGAGGTGTCTTCCCAGGTCCTGGGCTATCCCTGGGCCATAGCCAGGAGGAAAGAGCTAACCTTTCTAGTGTTATGTGACTGGTGGGGTTGGGTTGGGGGAGGATTGAAGGACAGTAAGGTGTGTACTTGAAACTGAGGGGGAGTCCTTTAGGATGACAGATGTCCAGGAGCCAGGACAGAGCACAGTAAGGGTTAGGATCCTGTCTTGAGGTCACAGAGCATTTTGCTGGGGCATCAGATATGTTTGGTCCTGGGAGAGGGCAGTGGTGCTGCTGAAGCAAGGCAGAGGCCACAGCTTACCAGGAGGCTGCTTTGCCTGGCACTGGCCGGGTTCTTTCTGAAGTGTTGACATGGTAGGTTGGTTTCAGGAGCTGCTCAGGGAACAGGAGCAAAAGGTAGAGGTGTGAGTAGGGCACTGGCTTGGTCACTACTGGGGCAAGTGGGTGGCCTCCGGGAAAGTTGGCTGAGGCCATGTACTGAGCAAGTCTGGATTCTAGATGAAGGCTGCAAAGGAAAGGAGAAAGGACAGGGTGGGGAGTGGTAAAGACTCAGGTTATATGTGCTGGTTTTCAACTTGGGAAGACCAGAGGCCAGTGCGGGAGGCATGGAGTTGGGTCTTGGTGATGATTGGAGTTACAGGCAGGTATGGGAGCCAAAACTACACTGCTCTTTCCAGCACGGTAAAGGCACTGGGAAATGGGAGAGGTGGATGGATCTGTTGGTGAGAGGAGGGGAGAGGAAGGCACCCAGATGCTTACACAGGGGGTCTGACTGAAGAGCTCGGTGCTTCCGGTAGGCGGAGTGCGGAGTGCAGTGAGGACTGAGGATTCACTGATGGGCTGAGCATTTTGGAACCACTGGAGAGGTGGCTAACCTAAGAGCAGCTCCTTTATAGAGTGGTGGGGACAGAGCCCATGGGAGGGAGCAGGTAGAAGGGTGGGCAACAGGTAGCCTTTGAATTGTCTGACGGGTCCCAGGAACAAGTGACCAGGCAGTGGCTAGAGATGACTGGTGTTTGAGAGGAGTCATTGTAAGCAAGAGCTTTGTAGGTGTGAAGGGCAAGGCCTTAGAGTGTGACCTAGACAGAAAGGCTCTTGTGTTGTCTGTACATCTCAGAGAACATTGACGCATGTCCCTGAGCCCCGGAGGGCCGTTTTGGAGAGACTCATTCAGTCACTCCTTGGCACTGTGGGTTAGACGAGAGCTTGAGTCCTGTGCAGGTCACATACTTGGCCTGTTTCGGTAGCTATTTGAGATCTAATACTTCCTTCTGTCCTTCCTCTCCTCACAGAGGACAGGTGGAGCTCTTACTGTCTCTCATCACTGGCTGCCCAAAACATTTGCACAAGCAAACTGCACTGCTCTGCTGCGGCTGAGCATGCCGACCCTGCCGCCGCCGCCGGGCCACTGGGCAGCACTTCTTGCTGCTCCTTGCTACGTGGCCTGGCTTCAGGGTGCTCTGCACCCCTGCTCTCCACTCCTGTGTGCAACCCCAACAAGGCTGTCTTCACCGTGGATGCCAAGACCACAGAGGTATTTGCTGCAGCTTGAAGTTCAGTGTAGATGTGGATTTGGAGTTGTCAAACTTGGTCCCTTCAACTGAGAAATTTGTGTTTTAAATGTAGTTAGAAAAATAGTTGATTGTACCTATAGGATGCAAAAGAATTTTTCCTTTTTGGACAGAGGCTCTAGAGAAAGGATGAGGTGTATTCTTTGTTATACTAAGCACGTTGACTTAGTTATGTTAATGAATTTAGTGCCTGAGTGAAATGTGTTTGTACCATGTACATTCATCTCTACAGGAGCTGAGACTGTTAGACAGGAGTGGAGTGTGATGCAAGTTTCCACATTTTTATAATATCTTTTAAGTTAATTGATCATATAATGTTGTATGCAAGTGTGTGTGTGTGTGTGTGTGTGTGTGTGTGTGTGTGTGTGTGTGTGTGTTGACGCATGTGTGCCACAGTGTGAGTGTGGAGGACAGAGGACAACCTGTGGGAGTCGGTTTTTTCCTACCTTGTGGGTCCCAGGGATTGAACTCAAGTTGTTAGGCTTGGCTGTAAGCACCTTTATCTTCTGAGCCACCTCTCCAGCCCTCTTCCTAGCTCCCTAGTCTTGATTGGCATGTGCTTGTTTTGGCTGGTGGGGGGTCCTGGGTATAGTTGGCCCTGATTGGATGTATCTGAGGTAAAGCTACCTGAGGTGCAGAGTACGAACATCATTGTCTGAGCCCCTGATGGGAAGGCAGTGCTGGGAAAGGGCAGGCCTTGGGCCTCCTTGTTGCCTCCTGTGTTGTTTGTTCCTTTGTTGTTTCTGGGGCCCCAGGAACTGATGGCTATCTGTGTGTCCTCTGCAGATTCTGGTTGCCAATGACAAAGCCTGCAGCCTCCTCGGGTATAGCAGCCATGACCTGATTGGCCAGAAGCTTGCACAGTTCTTTCTCAAGTCCGATTCTGAGGTGGTGGAAGCCCTCAGCGAGGAGCATGTGGAGGCTGATGGCCATGCTGCAGTGGTGTTTGGCACAGTGGTGAGTGAGTATGTGGGGTAGGGATGGGGTTGGGGTGGGAGGATGCTTTGCCTCTCTTTAAGGTAAGAGTAGCATGTAAAGGGGAGGGCTCCATCCCGGCCTCACTTCTGACTTTGAGCTCTGTTCTGCTGTGTGGCTGGCAGCACCTGCAACTTTAGCATCTTCATTGAAACATGGTCCTGGTGCTGTTTCCCTACTTCAGATGTGAGGAAGGGTGGGCCCTTTAAAACCAGAGTACTCCTAAGATGGATGTAGTGGCTGTGGTGCTTTGTTGTCATGTTATGGTGAGGGTTGAGGCTTGGACTACATTTTAAAAAACTGCAGGTACTGCGTGAGAGTTTCAGAAAAGTGATATAATTCCCCTCCCCCTTTTTCATGTATGTGTGCATGTGCACATGTATTGTGTGTATGTGTGTGTGTGTGTGTGTGTGCATGCATGTGACTACCCAAGGTTGACATCAGAAATCATCCTCTATCAGTCTTCCACCTTATTCATTGAGGCAGTGACTCTCAATCAAACCCAGAACTCTCCAGTATGGCTAGTCTTGTTAGCTGGCTTGCTCTGGGGATCTAGTCTCTGTCTTCTGAGACTGGACTAACAGGTAGGCCTCCACTCCTACCTAACATGTAAGTGGGTTTCTGGGGATCCTAACTCAGGTTCTCATGTTTGTGTGGCAAATTAACTGCTGAGCCATCTCCTAAGGCCTCTGAAATGATACAGTTGTATCACTACACCTGATTCTTGCCTTTAAAACCACACATTCCATTTATTTGCCATGTGATGGTGGGATGGGAGCATTTTCCTGGAGAGTTTTGGTCCTCTCCTAGGCTTCTGGGTATATCTAGGACATTGACAGGTGAGGTGAATTATAGGATGCTGAGGGCTAAGCTCTAGGCATGAGAACTTGGACAGGGTCAGTTGCATCAACAAATTAGTGGGTCAAGACGCTGATTCCTACCAAGAAAATAAAATTATAGCCTTTAGTACATATTAATGCCTCTTTATTTTTTTTTCTTTTTAAAAATACTGATTTTCTTGTTATTTATGTGCATGTTTATGTGTATGTACACATGTGTTTGGGAACTCAAGGAGGCCAGAGGAAGGCTTTGTAATAGCTACAGGGGCTGGAGTTATAGGCAATTGTGAGTTGCCCAGTGTAGCACTGAGTAGTTATGCTCTGGAAGAGCAGCAAGTACTCTTAACCACTGAGCCATCTCCCCAGCCCTTAGTGCTCATTTCATTGAGAAATTACAGATACTACTTCTTTTTCTCCTGCTACCTTACCATGAAGCTGAGTATATTGGTCAGTTTTTCAGAAGCACAGGACCAACTATGTATCTGGCTGAAGGGATTTATTAGATTGGTTTGCGTGGTTGGAAGCTGGGTAGTTCTACAATAACTGTGTGCAGGCTGAAGACCCAGTGGAACCAGTAACCACTCAGTCTAGGAATCTAAAAGCCTCAGAGCCACAGGGACTGATGATGCAGCCTCAGTCTGGAGGGTGAAGCCCCGTGAAAAGTTGCTGATGCAAGTGTGAGTTCAAGGCTGAAGACTGGAGTTCAGTGTCCGTGGGTGATAACCATAGCAAAAAGCACCCACACACGTCAGAAAAGCTGGGGTGATAATTTATACCTGTAATCCCACTACATAGAAGCTCAAGAGTTGAAGGGCAGCTTGGGCAACATGGGGGGCTTGAGATCAGGCTGGCCCACATGAGATCCTGTCTTAAAACAAGTAACAACAAAACCCACTAACACCAGCAGCAGAAAGCTAGTTGAGTGCACACGTGAGCTCTCCTTACCTGCTGCTTTTCTTTTCCTTATAGGCCCCTGCCTCCCATTCAAGAATGGTCTTGCCTTCCTTGGTCCACTGACACATACCAGTACTCTCTGCAAGTACTGTCATAGGTACACCTTGTGGTGTGTGCTTCAGGAGTTTTCTAGGTGTTTCTCAATCAAGGGTGGCAACCAAAAATTAGCCATCACACTGAGTATGAAAACCCTCTTGATAAAAATGCACTCAGACTGTAGCACTGCAGACTAGAAGCCTCGTGTATAGGTTTCTGAAAGGTGGGCAGAGCTTGGTTGCACTGAAGCCTTGATGCACCGGGGAAGGTCTCTCCTGACGAGAAGCACTTTGCCCTGCTGGTTGCGGAATGCACACTGCAGTTGTTGTGCACCCTGGTACAGGAAATGTGTGTCCACAGGTGGACGTCATCAGCCGGAGTGGGGAGAAGATTCCAGTCTCTGTGTGGATAAAGAGGTTACAGCAGGAACGGGGCTTGTGCTGTGTAGTGGTTCTGGAGCCTGTGGAGAGGGTCTCAGCCTGGGTTGCCTTCCAGAGTGATGTAAGTGTACTTCCAAATCTCAGCTATCTCCTGCTGACAGAATGCTCTCTTCCCTTTCATAACTTAAGGAAGGAAGTGCCAGGCCTAACTGGGTTTGCCTTAGTTATGGCTCTTACTGACTGCATGCTCAGGCAAGAAGTTCAGTCATTGGTGCCTGAGGTTTTCTCATCCATAAAATGGGAATAGTAGAATCATAACTACTCAAGATCGTTCTTGTGCTAAAGATGTCACTCTTTCAGAATAGTACTTAAACATGAACTGAGATGTAGTTCCTGAAGAGTCTGGTGTGGACCAGGGCTTTTTGCCTTTTTTTGAGGGAGGAGGGGGTAGTTTTGAGACAGGTTTTCTCTGTGTAGCCTTGGCTGTCCTGGAACTCACTCTGTAGATTAGGCTGGCCTCGAACTCACAGAGATCCACCTGCCTCTGCCTCCTGAGTGCTAGATTAAAGGTTATGTGCCACCACCACCCAGCTGGACCAGGGCTTTTGGAGAATATTCAAGAAAGTCATTTGGGGACAATGAGGAAATGGTATTGTTCTTATGAAAGCCCATGGCATGCCTCTTGTGCTTTGGATACAGAAGTTGTGACATTGTTCTTGCATTTGGTTTATAAACACTAGAGCATAAACTTCAGTGACATTTAAAGACAAGTGTGAGAAGCTTCTGTCAGGAGCATTGCTTTTTTGTCCCCCCAGGGAACTATCACATCATGTGACAGTCTCTTTGCTCATCTCCATGGGTTCACATCTGCAAAGGATGTAGTTGGGCAGTGTGTCACAGACTTGATTCCATCTATGCAGCTCCCTCCTCCTGGCCAACACATCCCAAAGGTAGGTGCCTGAACCATCTGCGCTGCGTGCTGCTGGGTCTTGAGTTCTTAGACTAGACCCTATAACTTGACTGCAGGATCATTCTTGGCTGGGGCAAAGCTCCAGCTCTTTGAGGCTCCACCAAAGCCTAGAGTCATGTGGTCTCCTGGCAGACCAGCCTTGTCCCCCAAGCCCTCGCCTTCCTGAGGGTCCAGGAGAATGGGCTGATCTATTGGGTAACCTTGTTACCCTGGTTAGAGTCTTCAAACAGAACAGATAGGATTTTATATAGAGACTCATGAGTATTTCGGGGAGTTGATGCTGTGATTATGAGGCCCCCTGCAAGCTGGAGACCCTAGGGTGTGCCCTGGGTGTGGCTCATCTAAGACTGAAGGTCTGAGAACCCTGAGGGCCTATGGAGGAAGGGCCAGAGCTCAAAAGCAGAGAGCCTGGAGTTTGACATGGGGCATCCCAGCTGCAGAAGAGAGATTCCGATTGGTCCTTCCCTCATTTTTCTCTTCAGACCTGTGTAGCCTTGGCTGTCCTGGAACTTACCCTGTAGACCAGGCTGGCCTCGAACTCACAGAGATCCACCTGCCTCTGCCTCCTGAGTGCTGGGATTAAAGGCATGCACCACCACCGCTCGGCAGTTTTGCTAACTTTGTAAGAAAAGGTTTTTTCCCCTTCCTTCCTTCCTTCCTTCCTTCCTTCCTTCCTTCCTTCCTTCCTTCCTTCCCTCCTTCCCTCCCTCCCTCCCTTCCTCCCTCCCTCTCTTCTCCTCTTCTTTTTTATTTCAAAGGAAAGACCATTCAGAATATTCCCCAGGTATGATTTTCTAAACTTAGTCCCCTATGCTGACTTTTATGTATGAACTTTTCTAGTTCATGAGATGCAGGTTTGCATGGGATGTTGTTACTGAAGAGTCTGGTATGGGCCAGGGCTTTTTGCTTTTTGTTTTGTTTTGTTTTTTTGAGACTAGGTTTCTCTGTGTAGCCTTGGCTGTCCTAGAACTCAATCTGTAGACCAGGTTGGCCTTGAACTCATAGAGTTGTCTTGTCCTCTGCATTTTCTGTTCTACTCTGAAGAAGTAGCCAACAGATTAGCAGGGCATTGGCTGGTGGCAGCACTGTATGTAGAGTCCTGTATAACAAAACTGCTCCTGACCAGCTCACAGGCAGTCTTCTAACTTCCTGAGGCAGGTGTCCTGGAGATGGCAGGAGAAGACACATGTAAGAATTTTCTCAGCCCCAAACCAGTCACCATTTCCTCCCGTAGCAGATGGAATCTATACAAGGGGAAGTCTATGTCCCTTCGCATTGTTGGGTTCATGAGTCTTGGGGTCAAGTGAGATTGGCAGAGGTGGGTCCTGGTCAGCTCCTCCCTCTGAGGTAGATGGGTTTTGAATTCTCATTTAGACCATTGTTCAGGACTCATAGACTGGGTGCTCACTATGCTCAGACAGGGAAGATGAGCCACCAGACCTCCAACATAGTCCCTAACTTTTCATGTCTTCCAGGGTAGGCCCTGAAACTGGAAAGAAAGCCAAGGTCTAGGTTCTTACCTGAAACCTGATTCATCCTGGTTAGGAACACTGCACTAGTCAAGTCTGTTTTTTAGTTTAGTTTATTTGAGACAAGGTTTCTTTGTGTAGTCCTCACTGTCCTGGAACTCTCTATGTAGACCAGACTGGTCTCAAACTCACAGGGATCCATCTGTCTGCCATCCAAGTGTTAGGATTACAGTGTACATCACCATGCCTGGCTATATTCAAAATCTTCATTGGAAAATCACATGCCTTCCACATAATTGAAGTAGATAGTACATAACGTAAGGATTTGGTTGTGTGTTGGGGGAGGAGCTGAGAAGGTAAATGGTTCCCTCAGTGGACAGTTACAGCAGGAAAGCAATGCCTCTAGGATGGAGGGACAGAGGACTTGGGTATGCAACCGTGACTGCTGTCTTAGTTGCTTCTCTTGTTACTATGAAAAAGGAATACTTAAATAAAATAAAATAAATAATAAAATGTTATTATAAAAAAAAAAGGAATACTCTGACAAAAGCAACTTGAGAAAGAGGTTTTATTTTAGCTAACAGTTGAAGGGTACCGTCTAAGGCAGCAGGAGTATGAGGCGGCCGGTCACATTGCTTCCACAGTCAGGAAGCAGAGAGTAATGACTCTGTGCTGCTGCTCAGCCCCCTTTCTCCACTTGCACAGTCCAGGATCCCAGCCAAGGGAATGGTGCCGCCCACAGTGGGCAGGTCTTCACACCTTAATCAATGCAATCAAGATAACTCCCCTACACACACCCAGAGGCCTGTCTTGAAGGTGGTTCATGAAGATTCTGTCATGGTGACCCTCATCATCACAGCTACTCTCATAGATGAGACTAAGAGGTGCTGGAGAGACGTGACAGCTCTTTCCCTTCCAGACTTGGAGCTGAGGAGAAGGATGCAGCCTCTCTATACCAGCAGGCTGTAGTTTGGCACGAATGCCTGCTCGGAAAGTCCAGTTTCCTCATTGTCTTGCACCTTGGTCCTCTCATTATGCATTTGTTCTGGACCCTGAGTCCTCCAATCCTGCTGCTGCTGTTCCCAAGGTTTTGATTTCTTTGGACAGGGTGGGACTAGGGAATAGTCAAGGGGAGCAGCATGGGTGAGGGATGTTCCTAGCACCAATACGTGAGTGGAGTTTGGATCTGAAACATGACAGCTCAGGATTCTGTTTACACAGTACTTCTGTAGTACTGAAATGCAGCTGCCCTGTCTTTCAGAGTCTCAAGATTCAAAGGTCCGTTGGGAGAGCCAGAGATGGTACCACCTTCCCTCTGAGTCTGAAGCTCAAATCCAAGCCCAGTGGAAAGGCTGTAGCTGACAGTGAGGCTGCTTCTGAACCAGGTTACCAGGCATCTGTGTGGGTGTTCTGCACCATCAGTGGCCTCATCACCCTCCTGCCTGATGGCACAATTTATGGTGTCAACCACAGCTTTGCACTAAGGTTGTTTGGTTATGGGAAGACTGAGCTCCTGGGTAAGGTAGGCTTGCCTAGTTTCCCAGATCCACAGTACTCTGAGGAAACTGTTCTACATGTTCATGGGATCTGTACCTGATGGGCTGTAGAGCTTACAGTCTATACTCATCCTGTTTACAACCAACCAGCTCATATTCCTGGGTCCCACATCAGTGGCCACTCTTGAATTGTGTCCTGGATCATTCCAGAGAAGGATGTGGGTCCTCTGCTTGGGATCTCTGTTCCCACCCAGCTGGCTCTGGTCTGGCCCTTTTGAACCAGGTTTTGATCACACTGTGGATACTACTAGTTCACACATTCTGAGTGAGCATAGTTGGTGGTGGGCAATGGTGGAGAAAGGGTTCTGTAACCTCCTTTCCTGAGGTTGGGCTTGTGCTTGGGTAGATGTCTTACTCACCAGGAGACAGGCCATTCGCCTTAACTTCCCTTTTATTTTTACCCAGACCTGTAGGGTGCAGTCTCATCATGGCTCTGTACAAGCCTCCATAGACAGTGTAACACTCTGAGTCATGAATCAGCCTGTTAGGCCAGGCTTAGTAGGGAAAGTCCATTTTGTTCCAGTTGGGACAACCCACTAGCTGAGTGTGGAGTCCTGAGGCCCTGAGAGCTCAGATTCTTGGCTTGGATGTTGTTTGGAACATTCATGGGAGCATCCTGCCTCTTAAGTCTCATCTCAGCCCCAGAAGCCAGGCCTCACAGCTCCCACAACTTCTTCTTAGTTAGGAGATGGATTCTGCGGTGTTCTGAGCCCATTGGGAGGGCACATGCCTCCCATATGCTAGAGGGGATCATGGAGCAGCCTTGGGAAGCCACCCACTCCTGCCGCTTTTGGCATCTGCCTGTCCCTCCCCTGCTGTGGACACCTGTTGAATGCCCACCAGGCTCACCTGGTTCCTGAGTGCAGGTGCTTATGGCCTTTACTCAGCACCTTGATCACCTGGGGGCTTCTGTCTCTTTTTGTCATTTCTTCTGGGTGATATACTAGAATATGTGTGACAGGTGGTTAGAGTATTCTCCTATGAGGCTCTAAAAAGAGGTTATTCTGCTGTTCAATAAAACCTTAAGGAGTAACTAAGCTAAAGTTTAGTTGAGTTTTCTTGATTAAAAAGCAGTTAGCATGCTCCCTGGATGACGGCTTTCTGGATGAGTATTACAGGCATGGGGACTCTTAGAGGCTTGTAGGTATAGATACCTGGCCCTCACAGGCAGCTGTCCAGGATGGAGGCTGCATACAGTTCAAAAGCAGCATCTGAGTGAGCAGATCTTACTGTGATAATTTGGCCCCTGATGAGTGCACATCAGTGTTCTTGGACCAAGAGCTCTAAGATATTAGCTTGGCAAATACAGGGTCTCTGCTCTACCTAGAGCAGAGAATGTGAAGCCACAGGCCAGATGTCTGCTTGGAGGACATGTAGGTATTGGTATAACTTGCCTTTCTGTGTTGTTTGCCTTTTTTATTAAAAAAAAAAAAATGAAAAAAAATTGTGCATTATGTGTCAAATGTCAGAGGGTCTGTAGATTAGCCAAACGCATGTGACTCAAGATCTTTCCCACTCTGAGGGCTGAACTGTTCATATTGTCGATATTTTCATTTTTTCCAGGAGGATGAGTTCAGTGGGTCAGAATGAATCCTCCTAGATTCTGAAATGTCCCTGCTTTGCTCCCTAGAACATCACTTTCCTGATTCCTGGTTTCTACCACTACATGGACCCTGCATATGACAGTTCTGTACAGCTGCCAGATCTTGTCGACTGCCTGGACCTTGGCAGTAAGAGTGGGCCTGGGGAGATGAGCTCCGATGCCCAGCAGGACTGGGACCTGGCCAGTGGGGCCCAGGGTAAGGCACAGCTTCCTCCACCGCAGTGCTTCTGTGGCTGCCTGGCCCCTTATGGGCTGTGGCTTCTGTGACAGAGATGAACAGAGCAGAAGCCATTGGTGAGCTCTCCAGAAGCTCAAAGGTGGGCAGAGTAGTGGGAGGCTTGTCCTAGTTTGAGACTCTGTCTTGTGCAGGCCTCCTGTTCCTCTTTCCCTGGAGATGGACGGGACAACTGTGTTAGCATCTAGAAGGCAATTAGGAAGTCCTCCAAGACTGAACCGTTTGTGCCTGTGTCTGAGACAGAAATAGCTGGCCCAAGTCTTGTCCATTTAAAGAGAATTTATAACCAAGCCAGGTGTCGTGGCCATACTTGTAATCCTAAGTTGTAGGGTTGCAGTTATTTGAGGCCAGCCTGGAATACATAGAAAGACCCTATCTGGGAACAAAAAGCTGCCTCCCAGGAACCCCTGCCCGCCAAATAATAACAATTATACGTTTATGTAGTTTCATGTAGTATAAGGTTGAGTTGTTATAGCGTATCATTTATTTATGAATTATGTTACATACCCGTTGACCTCAATATGTTTATCCCAGTAGCTTAAGGTCTTCAGTGACTGGTTCGTAGAGACAGTGTAAGCAGTCAGCTTGCTGTCCCAAAAGATCTCTTTGTCTCAGGATGCTGGGAGGGTGTGGGACTTGCCGATAGCCTGCAAAGCCAGTGTCTGGTCACTTGGGAGTTTGTGACAGTGCTGAGGCCTGTGAATCCAGGTGATGTGGAGTGGGAAGACTTCTGATCTTGTAGGGAGGAGAGAAGTGATGGAACAGGAACAAACATGAGGGATCAGTGCTAACAGAACTTGAAGCTCTTGGTGTGCTTCTGACGTACATACTTAGTGTAGGCTGTCTGAGTAGTTGAGGTTTTGATACAGGTACAGGTGTACTTTAACACGGAGTGCCTGGGAATAGAAAACACTCTTGATTTTGCTGTTAGATCCAAGGGTAGATGTGGTGTTGGCCCGTGACCCCATGCTGTCACAAGAGGAGACCTTGAAGCTGGTAGGAGGACAAGTCTCCCTTAGGACTCAGACACCGTTGGAAACTGGATGCCAGATACTTCCTTCTTACTCGTCTCAGTCTTCCCTGGGGTAAGTGCTTTGGTGGGAGGTGGCAGGGTTACTAAACACCAGGTTAGGTAATATCCAGCTCATGGGTAATAATGACAGTGATGACTGATGTGTACTGGTCACCTGCTCTGTCTATACACACTGGTGCTTTTAGGAAAAAGGACTGAGTCCTTACAACCCCTGTGAGAGAGCACCCATGATGTTATTCTCATCTTATGGACAAGGAAGTAGGCTGTTGAGAGGTCAAGAAAATGATAAAAGATACAACTTTAGAATTTTGAAAATCATTTGAAACCATTCTTTTTATATATTTTGAAACAGTTATTTATTTTGAGTAAAGGGAGTTTATATTGGAAAACTTTGAAAGGTAGGAATAAAAATTCATTTGTCTGTCACCATAGCATTTTAATGTGTCTAATGATGAATTTGTTTTGCTGCAATCTGACACAGAACACATCATGGTACTTGGTTGCAAGATGGAATTACTCTGGGTAGAATCAGAGACTCATTCATGGACTTCGTTAGATACTGATATTCTAAGAGCTTGAGTAGCATCCATCACATGTAAAGTGTAGTTAGTTTCTACAGAAATTCATTCATTCATCTATTTGTTTACTCATTTCCTTACTCCACAAACTTGTAGAAGACTTAAGGTTTCATTCCCCAAAGTTACAATGTACTCAGGAAGGTGAGCTTACATGGTAAGAAGAATGAAAAGTCAGGACTTGTTAGGAAGGGAGTGAGTGAAGTGTGTTCTGAGGAAAAAATGCGGAAGCTTGAGTCAGTTGTTCATGGTAAGCCAGGGGCTCAAACAAAACAAAACAAACCACCAAAGACTCCAGGTGAAGTACTTGGTCAGTAAGTGGGTTCTTGGCTCACCAGAAGCCAGCCCTGCTCCTTGGCAGGGGACCTGAGGTTCCTGGGGCAGCCTGGATGCAAGTCCCAGTTGCCTTATGTGAACTTCTCCTGCTGGGACTAGAGGAGGGGCTTCCTAGCTCCGAAGGGTCACTTGAAAACCTTTCTGTGCACCTCTCCATAGTGGCCGGAATTTAGTGACAGGTGATACTTGGCTGCCAGGGCAGCTGGCAGGTTGCTCTCATGCTAAAAATCAGGGATTCTAAGTCTCCAACACAGAACCCCCCACCCCCAAACTTGATGCTAGCACAGTGTTAATGGTCAAACCGTTGCTGAGCTAGTGAGAAGCCATTGGTGGCCTTCCCTTGGCCCCTGCAGTGCAGAGGCTTACTGGCCATACTGTAGGGACAAGATCATGTCCCCAGTCTACTAGTTGTCTTAGCAAGTATCACCCGTGACCTTTCTAAAATCTCAGAGCCTGTCTGTCAGGGTTTGGGGTGGAAAGGGGAACAGGTGTGACAGTAGACAGGAAAACAAATCCTGGGAACCACCAGCATTTGGAGATTCTAAGAGGGTGAATACCATGTCCAGGCCTCTTGGCAAGGTCTTACTGAGGCACTTCTGGTGTGCATTCCCATGCCTTCATCCTCAGAATGACCCTGTAATCTGTTCCTGGAGAGTGCTAGATGTACCCTGTGACTTGGGAGAAATGGACAGAGAGGGAGGGGAGTGTTAGGTAGATGGAATGCTTTCTTGCTTGGTCTCTTTGCAGACCTTCATCTCATTCCTGCTTCTCCAGGAAGACTTTGCTTTTAGAACTCAACCCACAACTTCCACTGTGGAACTATCCTCTAAGGGACTCCCCCCCATCTTTATGGACTTCTGCCATACAATTTGTAGGGACCCCCATTCGAAGACCACATAGTATATATACCCTGATGACCAGGTGTTTGACCTTAGTCCTGGCTGGTGTGAGCAGACACTAGTATAGTAAGCTGTGGATAAAGGATGGGCTGGTGATGGTCAGTCATCCTGCCTGGACTGCATAGAGCCTCCTCGCTACGTGTGCAGCTTCTTCACACTGAATGTGCTTGTCCTTGCTCTGCTGTGTCAGAGGGCCTTCACCTTCTCCTCCCATCCTCCTCCTCCCATCCTTCCTGCTCCTCCCCCTGGTCTCCTTGCTCCTCACCTCAGCTCCTTGTATGCATTACTTTGCCAGCCTTTTCTGATCTACCTCCCCAGTCTCTGTGCACCTAGGTGTTGGATGGTGTTGAGAATCAGCCATAGCCGGCTGTCATGGAGTTTATTAAACACTCTGAAATCCATTTCAGTAGTTTCTTTGATTCATCCTTGGTAAATGTAGATTTATATGAAGAATGTTTAAGAGTAGATATTTTATTTTTTAGCTTAGTTACAAAATTGAGAGACTTTCTGTTATAACTTTATCATGCTGAATGCATTGCACTTGTCTCTCATAGAGGGAGAGTCAGTGTGATCTCTCATTGCCAGTAGTGACTATCATCCAAATTCCTGTCTCCAGGGTGGACAGCAACCCAGTTTATGGTGAGCATTCATTGCCCACAGACCATCAAAGCATTCCAAAGAGAAACCTGCTAGCTCATGGTGGACAGTTACTGTCTCAGAACCAGCCAGACACTCCAGAAGTATCCCCTCCAGTCCTTAATGAACATTTATTGTCTGAGATTCAGAAAAATACCTCAGAAGAAAGCCCACTAACCCATAGGAAATGGTTATTGCCCAAGGCCCAGCAAGACGCCGCGAAAGGAAGCCTGCCGATCCACGACGAGCAGTTACTACCTGCAGGCCAGCATGTCAATGTCTTGGGGAAGGAGAACCCTTCAGCAGCAGAGAGCTACAGGAAGGGTCTGTTAGAAGAAAGCAGGTCCAAACCAAAGGAGGCCAAACTGTTTGCTCCACAGGAAGATTCTGAGCCTCTGGTCCCAGCTAAGGACAGGAGCAGCAGCATGGACGTGTGTAGTCTGCATCAGGAAGCTCAGCTGGAACTGATGGGCGTCAGCAGCCCCAGCAGTCCTAAGCCCTGGGCCGATGCCACCATGCCTGAGCCCCACACCACAGGGCAGCTGGCAGGAGGGGGCTTCCTGACACACTGCCCACAGTATAAGAGCGAGTGGCTCTTACAGCAGCGAGGCCAGGACTTGGCTCCCAGCCCCTCTGGAATGGCATGTGTCTTGCTTGGGACACCCACTCTGGATGAACCATGGTCAGGAGTGAGAAATGACCGAGAAGAGCTGCAGACTTGCTTGATCAAGGAGCAGTTGTCCAAGTCGAGCTTTGGGGGAACTCTGGGCATCTCCTGTGTGGAGCTTGTTCCAGCAGAACATCCTCCTTTCACTGGCCCTGTGTCCTTCTGCGATCTGGGAGGCCGAGACCTACATGCTAGCCACTTAGGCAGCTCCTCCGCCTGCTATGCTTTAGCCACCGACCTCCCTGGTGTCCTGGAGGCAGTAGAAACCCAGGAGACTGATGTGAATTCTTACTCCTGGAACCTCAGGGAGCTCTTTCTCAATGACCAGACAGACAGAACTCCATCACATTGTTCCTGTACCACATCTGAACTCAGCGAGACACCTTCTCCTTCAGTGGTGGGCTCAGATTTAGATGTGGGTGTTGTGCACAGGCAGAGTTCAGATATTCTAGGTGACCGAGAGATGTTGCTCCTGACTGGCACCTATTTTGACCTTGGCGAAGGCAGACAGTTACAGGAGATGGGCGCAGAACATGATCGAGCAGAACTGTATGATGTTTCTTTGGTATCCTCTGAACACTGTGAAACTAGTGACATAGAAAGCCCAGGCTGTGGCCCTCCCATACCAGATCCTGGTTCTGATGGTATGTGCCTATTCACAGAGAAGCCCAGGCTGAGTGCCCAGGTCACTTCCACTCCTATGGCACCTGGGGTCTCCAGCCTGCAGCCGGAGATCCAGGAGGGCATCTACTCTGGAAGCTGCTACCACCGCGATGGCTTACGACTGAGTATGTTCTGGGGAAGAGGCTTTTTAAATCATAGCAATGTTAAATGAGGTCATTGGAGGGATTCTATACTTCCTCACCTCTCTGCCCTTCAGGTATACAGTTTGAAGTGAAGCGCGTGGAGCTCCAGGGCTCTGCAACCCTGTTCTGCTGCTGGCTGGTGAAGGACCTCCTACATAGCCACCGGGCCTCAGCCACCCGAACCCGCCTGCTCCTTGCCAGCCTGCCTAGCTCTACCCACTCCATGCCTGACCTCTCTGGATCCAGCTTTGGAGAGGTTGGTATCTGGTCAGCTCACTCTCTGTTCACTTCCTACTGTGCTGCTGCAGGTTCTCCAGGTGGCATCGATGCCCTTTTGGCTGGAATGGGTAGAGGGTCTGTTGCTTTTTAACATTGTCTTCTAGTACCTGTGTAAGTATAAAGCAAATGCAGGACTTTAAATGAATATATACCTTGTGCAGTGGGGTGGAGATGCATTTAGACATAAACCAGTTTGGGTTGGTGGGTGGACACTGCCAGAGGGCTCCATGGGAGATTTTCAGACCAGGCCCCTGGGAGCACAGGAGATAATAGCATGATGAATGCAGGTGCTGTGCTGATGGAGATGAGGTGCTTGTGATCTCCCAGACCTTTCTTTGTCTCCACAGGTGCTTAGAGCCAAACCTTGGTTTGAGGAATCCCCAATACCCGCAGAGCTGGAGGGGCTGGCGGCCTGTGAGGGCGAGTACTCCCATAAGTATAGCACCATCAGCCCACTTGGAAGTGGGGCCTTTGGCTTTGTGTGGACTGCAGTGGAGAAGGAGCACAATAAAGAGGTGCCTGGGTTCATGTGGGGATGGCCCTCCTGGAGGTCCCCATCTGTAACGCTGAGACTTGTAATGGAGGAAGAGGGACCAGGATCCGGGTGCTTTCCAGATCTAGGGGAAGCTTCGGCAGTACACTCTCTTAACTCCAGAAATAGCCCTGTTGAGTTTCACATTCAGATCTTGCTTTCTTGCAGGCTCTTGGGCCCTGGCCAGTCTTGTTTTGTGTTTACACCTCCCCTCTTGTGAACATGGGGCTTAGACTATTCTTCTACTGTCCACATGGCTGATGACTCATGGACATGTGGACAGTAGAAGAATTGCTTTTAAAACTAAACTTAAGACTTCCTCTGCTCAAGTGGAAAAATAGATCTCCACCAAACAAAGAAGCAAGATAGCTAACAAGCACACTCAGGGTCTACCTAAGGTTTCTTACGGTAGCTCTCAGCTGGGTTTGTACTTCATACCTCTTGGGTGCCGGGCAGTTTTTAGTACACTGATTCATCCAGCTGGCCTCCCGCCCAGTCATTAGGGCCATTCCTATGCGTTCCTCTTCTATCCGAGCCTTAGAACTAACTCACCGTCCTTTGATCCCAAATCCCACTGGCATTTTTTGATTTTAGTACCAACCATCCCACTCAGAAGCAGCACCCACTTGTTGCTATGAACACTGTCAGGCTCCCCAGGCACATACCACTAGCCAGATCCTGGACGGCCCTGGAGTATTGCCACAGAGTCCTTTATTATCACTTGTTGCTGGAATGCACCAAAGATCTGTGTCTGAGGTGGCTGTTTGATATTCTTTCTGGTTCTAGGAATTTTTCAGAGGATGTTTTAGGATTTTCCCCTCCATAGCATGGCAGTTTTGTCTTGTCCTTCTTTGGTTCACTTTTCATCCTTCTTCCTTCCTGTCATTGACTAGGTTCCCAGAACAGTGTTACTTGACAGTTGTGCCACTGGGTCCCTTGGCTTCCTTTCAGTTTGTCCTTATGGTACCTTTCACTTCCCAGTGAGCACATTTCATTTGAAGACATCGTATTTTATTATTAGCCCATCCGGCTGGGTAAATTTTTTTTAAACATTTATTTGAGTGTGTTTGTGTGTGTGTGTGTGTGTGTGTGTGTGTGTGTGTGTGTGTGTGTGTGTGTGTGTGTGTACATGCACAAGGTCAGTGAACACTTACAGGAGTTGGTTCTCTTCTTCTACCATATGGGTTCTGGGAATCAAATTCAGGTGGTCAGGCTTATTGGCAAGCACCTTTACCCACTGAATCATCTCACTGGTCCCTGAATTTTTCTCTTTTTAAGAATGAGTTTGAGGGTCTGGAGACACGGCTCAGTGGTTAGGAGCACTGGCCACTCTTCCAGGGGACCAAAGTTTAATTCCCAGCACCCATATGGCGGCTCACAACTGTCTGTAACTCCAGTTCCAGACACAGACATACACGCAGGCAGAACAACAAACAACCGGAAAACAATCATTAAAAAAATTGAGTTTGGGTGGTCAGCTATTGAATGATGTCTTTCCAGCACTTATTGACATGATTGTACTGTTTCCTTTATTAATATAATGATAACACTAGTGGATTTTCTTTTTTGTTTTGTTTTGTTTTGTATTTTTGGTGCCTGTCCTGGAACTCACTTTGTAGCCCAGGCTGGTTTTGAACTCTTAGAGATCCACCTGTCTCTGCCTCTGCCTCCTGAGTGCTGGGATTAAAGGCGTGCGCCGCCACCGCCTGGCCTACTAATGAATTTTCTTATGCTCCTGGATTCCATCCTTAGTTATGTATAATATCTTTGAATGCATTGCCGGCTTTGATTAGCTGTTGTATTTATTTTTATTTAGAAATTCTTGATTATAGGGCTGGAGAGATGGCTCAGAGGTTAAGAGCCCCGACTGTTCTCCCAGAGGTCCTGAGTTCAATTCCCAGCACCCACATGGTGGCTTACAACCACCTGTAATGAGATCTGGCACCCTCTTCTGTGTACATAATAAATAAATAAATCTTAAAAAAAAGAATAAAAAAATTATTGATTATAGGCCAGGCATGGTGTCACATGCTTTTAATCCCAGCACTCAGGAGACAGAGGCAGGTGGATTTCTATGAGTTTGTGGCTAGTCTGGTCTACATAGAGAGACATGTCTCAAAAAATTTTAAAATTATTATTGTATGTATGTACATGCATGGTGTATGTATATGTATAAGTGCATGCTGCACAGTGAATGTAGAGGCCAGACGACAACTTGGATGAGTTGGTTTTCTACTTCTGCTATCTGGGTTCCAGGGCTTGAACTCAGGTTACCTGGCTTGGCAGCAAGCACCTTTACCTGCTGAGCCATCTTGCCAGCCCTAAAATTGATGATTCCCTGTTCACTTGGTGTCCTGATTTTGGATTTGCTGCACTCATTTTGTAGATTTTTTTGAGGGATGGATTCATTTTATTTTATTTTTGCACATGTATATGTGGTATACATGCCTGTATATTTTATGCATGCTCTTGTGTGTGCGTACAGTATGGAGGTCCAGGTTTGATGTTGTGACTCTGAGTCACTCTCCACCTTACTGAGGCAGGGCCTTTCAGTAGAATCCAGTGTTTGCCCGTATAGCTAGTCTAGGTAGTCAGCTTACCCTGGGATCCCTTGTCTTCATCTAATGAGAGCTGGGCAGGCCACCGTGTCCACCTGCCATGGACATGGGTTATGAGGTTCTGAATTGTGGTCCTCATACTTGCGTGTCAGGCACTTAAACACTGAGTCATCTCCCCAGCCTCAGTTTCTCTGTTGGATGTGAATACCAGCATTATTAAGACTATTCTTTGGTACCCATGTCAAAACTGGCTGTGGTGTGGGTTTGTTTCCCTAAGCCATACTGTTTTGATGATTACAGCTTATAGTAAGTTATAAAATTGGAAATGTTGATCCAACTTTGTTGTTCTTTTTCAAGACTGTCTTGACTGTCTTGCAGTTTCATAAGAGGTTTGGATCCCCTTGTCCGTTTCTACAAGAAAACTAGCTGGGTTGTCCTAGCAGTGTGTAATTTAACTTGGAGATTCTTGCCATATTAGTAATCTCTTTTCTGCTCCATTAACAGGGATGTCTTCTCATTTACATGCATCTTTAATTTCTTTCAACAGTGTTTTGTAATTTCAGTGTATAAGCTTGTTCTGTGGTTAAATTTGTGTTTTTTTTCTTTTTGAGACAAGGTCTTACATAGACTGGGCCTTAAACTTAATATGTAGCTGAAGATAACCTTAGACTCCTGACCCTCCTGCCTCTACTTCCCATATGCTAGATTGACAGGTGTGAGCTATTATACCTGGTAAATCTACATTATTCTTATATCCAGTTTCTTGTGTTTCTTATGTTTACATTTTACTTGTTGGAATACATTTCTTACTGTATTAATAACTGAATTAATTGTATTTGTATATATTAATTATATGAAGTAATTTTCCCCAAAGAGTATATACTTGAGTATTGTACTTAAATGTACTGAGATGGATTTTCTCAGAACTTTTTTTTTTTTTTTTTTTGAGACAGGGTTTTTCTGTGTAACCCTGACTGTCCTGGAACTTGCTTTGTAGGCCAGACTGGCCTCAAACTTACAGAGATCTGCCTGCCTCTGCTTCCCAAGTGCTGGGATTAAAGGCGTGCGCCACCACCACCTTGCTTTTCTCACACCTTTTTAGACCTGTTTCTGATGTCTTCAATCATTATTTGGAAGTAAATTTTGCTTCTAGCAACCTAACTTCTTTTTTCTTCCTGTAATTATTAAAATTGAATTTTAAAAATTATCAGGATGTATTTAGGAGTTTGTGTGTATTTATTCTTGCCTGATGCTTGGTAAGACTTTGATCTAGATGCCTCAAGGTTTATTTTAAAAGACTTTATTTTTTGTTTGTATTAATCCTCTCCCTTCTTTCTGTGAAACTCACTTCAGGCATGTGTGGTAGCTCCTGGAGATTGCCTGTCTTTTTTGTCTTCTTGCTCTGTGCAGGTGGAGGGGCGGCAGGCATCTCCACTTACGATGTCTGAAGCAGACCACCTGCTGGCTGTTGGCCTCCCTTCCTGGGCACTGAGCCCTTCCTCAGTTTCTCAAGACCCCAGCGGCTTGGTTCTGCCTCATCTTTCTGAGTTCTTTCACATCTCTCTCCCTCCATATCATCTGCAGAGTGTCTGCTTCTCCCAAACTATACCTCTTCTTCTCCTGACCAGTGTGAAAGGTAGTTGTATAGTGCAGACGCTTCCAACTGCTACTCCTGCTTCTGCCCCCACCCCAACACTGGCCACTGGCTTGGCTTCCTTCAGGTCCGGGCACTTGCTGGCTTTTGTTCTCGCTTTCCTCCCTTGTGCCGGCCTGCTTAGTGTCTCATCATTTCTTTTTCCTGGGCACTCAGCCTTCCCTAGGACGTGATGCAATTACTGTCTGCTTCTCCGTGAAGGACCAGCTCCTTGGAGCCTGACAGTGTCTCTCACTGATACACAGACAGACTCTGCTGGAATTTTTACCCAGGGCTGCTTTACCTGTGTGCCTAGCATTCCGTGTAATAGCCAACCTGGTGGGTGGCAAGCCTGTCTTGTAGTGAATGACATGCAGCCTTTCTTTCTTTTTGGTGGAACTTGGTCCCATTGCACCTGGTAACTGAAGCCCCTTGCTGTTGCTGGGTGGTGTTTCTCATGTTTACTACACCCACCAGGCTTGAGGGACTCCCTGGTTAATCTCAACATCAGGACTGACACTTGTCTACCAATGAGAGTTTCCTTTATTTTCTCTACTTTTAGGCTTATTTCATTCTCTTGAGGGTGATAGAGAGTGTTGTGGGAACACTTACCATAAGGTTTCTGAGACTTCTTTTCTCCAGCAGTGGCCACGGCTCCTCAGCACCTCCAGGGATCCCCGTCTATCCCATCTTACCCGTAATAGACAGGTAGAAATCACCAGCATTTCTGTTTGGCTGCTGCCTCATCCTTTTCCTGTTGCAGGGACTTGCTAAGTTTCTTCTTCCATGGCCATGGTCTTCTGGGGGATAAGTGTAAGCTGGTAGTGGGCACCAGGTTTAACATATGGTAGAGGTCTGCTCTCCTTCTCCCATACAGGTGGTGGTGAAGTTTATTAAGAAGGAGAAGGTTTTGGAGGATTGTTGGGTTGAGGATCCCAAACTTGGAAAAGTGACTTTGGAGATAGCAATTCTGTCCAAGGTGGAGCATGCCAACATAATCAAGGTGGGTGGTGGTTTTCTGTGTGCTCTCACCCTCCCTCATGTTGCTTCTCCAACATTAATTTATTGATTGGAGGTGTTTTCAGACAAAGCTAGACCTGGCCTTGTCTCTTTCAGGTTCTGGATATATTTGAAAACCAAGGGTTCTTCCAGCTAGTGATGGAGAAGCATGGCTCCGGCCTGGACCTCTTTGCTTTCATTGACCGCCATCCCTGCTTAGATGAGCCTCTGGCGAGTTACATCTTCCGACAAGTGAGTGTGGGCCAGGGCTGCGTGGGGAGGATGTGGGTAATTGAATGTCATGTCTGCAAGGGTCAGTGGCATGTAGTCAGTTTCCTCAGTGAGCCAGTGTTCGCTTTCAGCCTGGGGTTTATGAGGTAAGAGACATATTTTGAAGAGAGAGTTGTGTGAAGTAGAGAAAGTGAGGCTGGAAGGAACTGCCAGGGAAGTGTACTTTAGCAATTAAAATTTATTCATATCTGTATAGTGTTTTCATACCAGTCATAAACATTAAATAACAAAGCCATCGTGCTGGTTGTGAGTCCTGTGCGCGCGCGCGTGCGTGTATGTGTGTGTGTGTGTGTGTGTGTGTGATCTGAATCTGTGTCCTCACGAGTAACCTAATGTTGCCTTTTGTCTTGATCTGTTTTCTTTTCTTTTCTTTTCTTTTTTTTTTTTTTTTTTTTTTTTGGTTTTTCGAGACAGGGTTTCTCTGTGTAGCTTTGCGCCTTTCCTGGATCTCGCTCTGTAGACCAGGCTGGCCTGGAACTCACAGAGATCTGCCTGCCTCTGCCTCCCGAGTGCTGGAATTAAAGGTGTGTGCCATCACCGCCCGGCTGTTTTCTATTTGAATGTATGTGGATCTTTGCTCACCTGCTGTTTTATAGACACGGGAAAGCTATCAGCAAATCTGGAAGGCGCCTGGGAAGCAGGAGGGAAAGGAGGGCAAAGACAGTGACTCGTCTGAGTACCGAGAAGGCAGTGGCTGCTCCCTCGGTGCTCCCACAAGTGTGTGGATCATTTATACTTGTCCTGTAATTGCTTCTGAAAGTGACGCGATTCCTAGTGAAAGCTTCTTTCGTTTACAGTTCTTCAAAGCTGTAAACTCCTGAAAGTTATTTGGATTCCTGAAAGTTGCTCAGGCTTCTACATGTGTGTTTCAGCCATTGTGATATGCCAAAAGAATGCCTATCGCCACACTTACACTTCCTGTTGGAAGATTATACGTTTGTTTTATTTGTTTCTATTATCTGTTTATCATCCATCTGTCCATCCATCCATCCATCCATCCATCCATCCATTAGCAGTGCTACCCAGGGATCAGGACCATGGGCAGCTATATGGACACAGGGCAGAGCTGGGGCTTGTAAAGGAAAGGATGAGCTCAGTACGATTTAGCTGTAGTGAGATTTTATAGTCTTGTTAAATAAAAATATGGTTTCTGACTAAATGTACAGTACACACCTACAATTTCAGTACTCCTGACAGTGAAGCAGGAGGACGGAGAGTTCAAGGCTGGGCTACAGAGCAAGATTCTCCCCTGACCCAAGTTTCCTGATTTGTTCTAACATATATGTGTCTGTATGTATGCATGTATGTATGTTCATATGTTCATGAATGTTCAAATATATGCATATATGTGCATGTATGTGTGTACTCATAAATCTATATATATATAAATATACAGGCAAGTGATTATAATGTATACTTTATTTATTTATTTATTTAAAGATTTATTTATTTATTATACATACAATGATCTGCCTGCATGTATGTCTGCAGGCCAGAAGAGGGTGCCAGATCTCATTACAGATGGTTGTGAGCCACCATGTGGTTGCTGGGAATTGAACTCAGGACCTCTGGAAGAGCAGTCAGTGTTCTTAACCTCTGAGCCCTCTCTCCAGCCCGTATACTTTATTTTTTAATTGATTGGGCTTAGTTGACATGCCATTAACTATCTTTCTGATTCAAACATTTTTCATTTGGATGTATAAAATTGTCTCCAAAGATCAAAATGATTGATGTTCAAGAAATCACCAAGTTGATTGCTCTAGTTGGTATCCAAATTGTGGTGCAGATAGTCTTCCTGAAGACCGCAGGAGACTGGCTTAGTAGACCTGCACCTTAGAGATACAGCATGCCTGGGCATGGGTGTTAGGATGCTTGCCTTCCAGAGGCAGAGTGCTATATACAGTCTGCTTCCTGTGGAGCCACTTACTCCACATAGTGGTGGATGTGCTGCCTGGGGAGCGGCAGGGAACACACCACACAGAGGAGCTGCTGGAGCTGCATCAGGATTATCTGCTCATGCTTTGACCTCAAACTGCTGAGCACACTCTGTGAAAGACACTTTCCTTCCCTGTGAGCTGTGGTGCCCACACAGTGCCTGTGCATGGGTACTTTGCATGTGATACCAACCAACAGTATCCCTCAATGGCCCACATGTTTCTAAATATCTACTCGGTGACCTGTCTTTCCTGCTGAGATGGTTATGGGGCAAGTGTCTGCTGGGAGGCTTTTTTTGGTGAGTGAAAACAGACACCGTGAGCCATTGAGTTTGGGTTGCTTGCTGGCCTGTCCCAGGCACGGTGATACACTCCCAGAACGACTGTGCCTCCTGTCTGTGCAGAACCATATCTCCAGTACCCAGAACTATGCTCTGGAAAATGTTTATTTTCCTTTCTTCTTCCTAATATTTACTTGAATTGCTCTTTGAAGTGTTCTCCTGCCTCTGATTCCAGCTGGTGTCTGCTGTTGGATACCTGCGCTCCCAAGGCATCATCCACAGAGACATCAAGGATGAGAACATTGTGATTGCCGAGGACTTCACAATTAAGCTGATAGATTTTGGCTCAGCTGCCTACTTAGAGAGAGGCAAACTATTTTATACTTTTTGTGGAACAATCGAGTACTGTGCACCCGAAGTTCTCATGGGAAATCCGTACGTATCACACGCTCCGTAGTTTACTTTCCTCTTGCCTCTTGCATTGTGCCCATGACTGTTGTGGTTTTAGGAAGAAGTGGCTTCAGTGTGTTCCTTTTTTATTGAATAATGAGGATAATGTTCTGGAAAATAAATGTGCAGTAGGTAGGAAGCTGGACAATGGACATAGGGGTTCATTCTACCATTTTACCTTTTGATTGTTTGGAGTTTGATGTTGCAGAAAGTTAGAAAATTAGAAGCTAAAGAGGAAAGTCTCAAAAGCAGAATTCTCTGAGTGATTCCTGTAACTTGCTGTACTTACTGAATATCAGGAATAATCATTATTTCAAGTTTTTATTTATATATTTAACTATTTTTTTTATTTTTTTGTTTCTTGAGACAGCCCTGCTGTCCTGAACTCACTCTGTAGACCAGGCTGGCCTCGAGCTCAAGAGTTCACTGCCACTGCCTCCTGAGTGCTGGGGTTAAAGGCGTGCAGCACCACTGTTTGGCTTAGTTATTTTTAGTTGATGTGTATGGGTATTTTGCCTGCAGGTATGTCTGTATAGCATGCTCAGTGCCTGCAGAGACCAGAAGAGGGTGTTGGATCCTGTTCTGGTTAGTATTTTGTCAGCCTGACCCAAGTTAGAGTCAATGGGAAGAGGGAACCTTGATTGAGAAATGCTCCCACCAGATTGGCCTGTGGTCCAGCAAGCATGTGGGCCACTTTCTTGATCAATGATTGGTTGGGCTAAGTGATGCTACTCATGAGCAGTGGATCTTGGGTGTTATAAGAAAGCAGTCTGAGGGGCTGGAGAGATGACTCAGCGGTTAATAGCACTGCTTGCTCTTCCGAAGGTCCTGAGTTCAGTTCCCAGGAACCACATGGTAGCTCACAACCATCTGTAATGAAATCTGGTGCCCTCTTCTGGCCTGCAGGGATACGTGCAGACAGAACACTGTATACATAATAAATAAATAAATCTTAAAAAAAAAGAAAAGCAGTCTGAGCAAGCCATGAGGAACAGGTCAGTAAGCAGCATTCTTCAGTGGTCTCTTCTTCGGTTCTTCAGTTCCTGCCCCTGCTGAGATGGTTATGGGGCAGGAACTTAGCTCTCCTGATGATGGACTGTGACCCGTAAGACAAACTCTTTCCTCCCCAAGTTGCTTTTGGTCATAGGGTTTTATCAGGGCAATAGAAACCTACTTAAGACAGATCCTCTTGGACTGGAATTTCAGAGAGTTGGGAGCTGCCATGTGGATGCTAGAAACAGAACCCAAGTCCCCCGAAAGAGCAACCAGTGCTCCTAACTGTGGAGGTATTTCTCTAGTTCCAGCAATCAAAATTTCAATAACCGTGTTGGGCTGACCATACAGCAGGCCAATAGCAAGAGTGAGAGCGTGAGGAATGATGGGAAGGAACTGTGGGGCTCAGATTCTGGGCTTTGAGCTCAGGGGTCAAACCTGGGTTTGTTGCTCTGTAGTTGGGGAGCCTGTGGGCAGCAAGAACCTGACCTGAAAAGACCTCTTTTCTTGGGACTTGAGACAAAGAATTGAAATGGAGCTCATTGCCCACGTGTGTAGGGACTATATAGAAATTGCTGATAATGGTTTGTACTGTACACACAGGGATTGTGGTCTTCGCCACATACAAATAGGTGTGTCTATATAAAATGACCTTCCTCAGTCTTATTTATACAATGGTTTCTTCCTCCTCGGCCTGCATAAATTTTGGTGAAGTATATTTCGTGTCTCAGGGAGAGAGTGGGTGGTTAGAGGCGCAGAATGTTGAGCTAGCTCTGTGTGGGCTTATAGAATAGTGTGTAGGGTCAGCAGGTAGGCGTGCTCAAAGCTGGATTTCACACTGGGCCTGATCAGGTCCAGATTGTCTGCTCAACCCTACCTTGTGTGAGAAACCTTCAGCAATGGGGGCTGGGAAGCGACCAGAGCCCAGGCCTATGTCTTCTCAGGGCACTTTTCAAGTCACAGTCAGAAAGTGAACGATCTTGGTAGCTCTCACTGACTCCTGAAATTTGGTCTCCCTGACCTGCTGCTGGACTGGCCCTTGTGTGCAGCAGAGAGGCTTTGTGCTACCAGCAGAGAGTGCCAGGGGCAGGGAAACTTGCCCTTTGGAGTCGCTGTGTATGTTCAGAGCCACCATAGCAAGCTGTGAAAGGGGATATAGTTTCTCTTCATATCTGGTTTGGTTGTCCCTGTTGTCAGTGAGTGTCCTGCTCTGGTACCATGGTTGAAATGTAGTCAGTATTGACGAGGACCTGCATGTCAACTGGTTCACTGTACATGCTGTGTGTGGCTGGTCTGCTGTTCCACACCCAGGCTCCGATGCTTCCGTCTCTGTACTTAGCCATCTGCGGCAAGTGCCTTCCTCCTGTCTTCTGTCTACACTGCTTTCTGCTCCCTGCCCATCCTTTTCAATTGTATATGTGCCGCTCATGCTGTGGGCCTCTTGGTCAGGACCTTGTCTCAGTCTACATCCTTCCTTCCATGTTGCACACACACACCTCCATCTCATCAGGCAAAGGCTCTTTAAGAACATTCTTCCTCCTCGTTTTTATACCCTTATTCCTCAGGGGTCAGCAAACTCTCGGTTGGCTAAAAGGCAACCTCCCTGGTGGCTGGTAGCATGAGTGAAGTTAGAAGAACACTCCCCCTCTTCCCTCAGGCTTGCTCTTCCAGGGGACCCCCGGTCCTGATAAACCCCTCCATCCTGCCTTTCGTTTCTCTGACCCCTCAGCTGTCACTACACTTTGTCCTTCTGTGTTTCTCCCCGTTTGTCTTGCCTTTGAGCACCCTTTTCTCTCACCTCATGATCTTTGTGTAGGGTATTCCATCACCTTGTTCTGATGCTGCCTGTGGCTCTGGTGGCCCTTAGTGAGGCCACATTGTGACTTGCTGCCCACACTTTTGCTCTCCCAACCCTGGGAATCTCTCCTTTTCTGGGGCAGCCCTGCATGGACTGTGAGAATGCAGTTCTGACTGGGGTTGGAAGGCTCTGGCACTCAGTGGAGGCTGCCTCAGTGAGCTTTGTACTGAGTGCAGGGAGGCCTGAAATGCTCTCTGTTCCTCCTTGCAGCTACAGAGGGCCAGAGCTGGAGATGTGGTCTCTGGGGGTCACTCTCTACACGCTTATCTTCGAGGAGAATCCCTTCTGTGAGGTGGAAGAGACCATGGAGGCAGTCATTCATCCCCCGTGCCTGGTTTCCCAAGGTGAGCATGAGCTCCAGATGGTGAGTGACGCCACTGCCTGAGAACCCAACACTTTGTTTCTGTCTCCTCTCTGTCTATGCCGATTAGCTTTTACCTTTCTTTTTCATTCTAACATTTTGATCTGAGCACGATAATTTTAATATGACTCAAAACATTTTTCTAATTTTAGTAGTGTCCCTTGGATCTTCAAGGCCCTCTTGGAAGTGACACTCCACAGTCAGTAACCTTGTCTGTGGCAGCATCTCTGTGGTCAGATGCTTAACTTATGTCGGGAGCCCCATTTGTGGAGGAGGGTGGTGTCAGTGCATGGAGAGACTTGACCCTCAGCAGCTCACGTGGAAAAAGTCAGTCATACCCTGAGCCCTGTGAGCAAATGTGACAACAGCAAGTTGAGACCAAGTGGGACCTCAGGTCTGTAGTGAAGGCCAGGGTTCAGACTTTGGGTTCTTAAGCTTAGAGCCGATACCCCAGGAGCCTGAAGCCTAGAGGAGCTCATGGAGCTGGCAGATGTGGTCAGGTATCATCCTGTGGTCCCACAGCAGTCACTTACTGGGAGGACCCATGTGGTAATAAGATCTTCAGTCTGTGCCGTAGCCTCTGCTTAGGTTAGAAGCCTCTGTCTCTTCTAAGAATTCCAGATAGGGCCTTACACAACAGATGCCCATTCAAAGTTGCAGGAACTGAAAGTCTGAGTAAAGGTGGTGGCAGGTTCAGTGCTCAGTGAGGCCACCTTCCGACTGTGGATGGCACCTTCCTTGATGTGTCCTCATGGTGAAGACAGAGAACAGTCTTTTCTATCTTAGTACACCACCTCCAGTCTTCCTCTTCACTCACGGCTTCCTCTAACTCTTAACACCTCCCAGCAGCCCACTGCCCTGCGCCGTCGCTGCACCGTCGTCACATTAGGGGTGAGCTCACTAACACACACTTTGGAGGGGCATACTTAGCTACAACAGCCTGGAAGAGGACTTTAGAGCTTTACTAGTTGTGACTCCCTAAGATGCTGCAGTTTATGTGGTGTACTGCTCTGCTCCAAGGCTGCTCCATGGGTTCTGATTACACAGGTTGGGTTCCTGATGATGAGACTCATAGAGGTCCTGGCCAATACGTACACATACTTAGAGGAAACAGGACCCAAGTGCAGATTAAGGTTGGGCTCCTGCTAGAGCTTAAGCTGCCTCCCCACAGAATGATCTGGGGTACTTGAGTTGGCTACTGCCTTCCCTTGCATGTCATGATCATCCTCAGTCCTCATGGCCAGAGCCAGTGTCATAATTAAGGTTTCCATTGTTGAGATAAAACACTATGACCAAAAGCAACTTGGGAGCTTACAGTTACACACCATAGTCCATCACTGAGGGAAGTTGAGGCAGGAACTAAAACAGGGCTGGAACCTGGAGGCAGGAGTTGATGTAGAGGCTGGAGCTGATGTAGAGGCCATGGAGGAGTGCTGCCTCCTGGCTTGTTCCTCATGGCCTGTTCAGGCTGCTTTCTTTTTTTTTTCTTTCTTTTGTGTGTGTGTGTGTTTTTGATGCAGAGTTTCTCTGTATATCCCTGGCTGTCCCTATAGGCTGGCCTCGAACTCACAGAGATCCACCTGCCTCTGCCTCCAGAGTGCTAGGATTAAAGGCTTGTGCCACCACTGCCCAGCTTCATCCTACTTTTTTTATAGTACCCATCACCACTATCCCATGGGTGGCACCACCCACACTGATCTGGGCCCTCCCACTTCCATCAAGAAAATGCCCCACAGGCCAATCTGGTGGTGGTACTTTCTCAGTTGAAGTTGTTCCTTCCTAAATAACTCTTAAGTTTGTGTCAGGTTGACATAAAACTAGTCAACACACCTTGTAAGCAGTCATCTGAGGTTTGTGTAGGCGGAGTTTTCCTGTCCTGCCCACCAGTTCCCAAATAATTACACAGAGGCTTAATATTACTTAAAAATGTTCAGCCATTGCTCAGGCTTGTTACTAGCTAACTCTTACACTTAAACTAACCCATATTTCTTACCTGTGCTTTGCTATGTGGCTCATGGCTTGTTACCTCATTTTCTATATGTCCCAGTTTCTTGGTGGCTGGCTGGCATTCCTCTTGACTCTGTCCTTCATCTCAGCATCCTCAGTGTGATTGCCTTGCCTAACTTTATCTTGCCTTGTTATAGGCCAATCAGCTTCTTGATTAATCAACGAGAGTAATACATATTCACAGTGTACAGAAGGATTGTTCCACAGCAGGTTTGATTGAGCTGGATCTTAGCTTCCATGCTTCCATTTTAGAGGTGATAGATTCATAAAGGTATTTTCTGAGAAAACCAGGCCAGGCCTTGAAGCCCTAGGACTCCTGGCTGCTTCCTTGCTTTGTGAGAGGTTCTGTGAAGCAGGATACCCTGAAATCTATAGGTCTGAGATATGTTCCATTTGACTTGGCCTGGTTCCACCTGTGTTCTTTATGTCCCTAGAACTTAGGAATCTTCTGTCTGGGCTGCTGCATCCTTCCCCTGAGCAGCGGACCACTTTAGAGAAGCTGATCATAGACCCCTGGGTGACACAGCCTGTGAACCTTGCTAACTACACCTGGGAAGAGGTGTGTCGGACCAACCACCCAGGTGAGAAGTCTCAGCCTCCCCTTCTCCTCCCTCCCTTTCCTCTGCGTCTTGGTTTGGGATAGGAAGGTGACCCGGCCTCCTTCCTGGATGAGGCCCTTCCACCACACTGTTCTAGATACAAATGCCAGAGTCTGTGGCTGGCCTGAAAGATGGGGCTTGACTGTGCAGAGACCCTTAGATGCCACTTGGGACCTTAGAGGGAGGACAAGCGCTGTTATTAGCCTTGGCCAGGAGGGGTGGGAAGGCAAGAGTGGAAGAGTCAGCTGGTTGTCTGACTAGTCCAAAGAGGGGTAAGATACAAATGCTGGCCATGATGCTGTGGGGCTAGATGGGGGTATTGTCTCTTCAGAAAAGACTCCCTAGCCCCAAGTCAGAGCTCCTGGGAACCAGGCTGGAGACTAGGATCACTCCTGGCATCTTAGCAGGATCTGTACTTTCAGAATATCTCTACTGGGGTTTCAGAAGTCACTGCCTACTGTCCCCCATTTCTGTTGTTCCTAAACAAAGTATTTTAGAATCTTATAGCTAGCATGCAGTGTCTTTTCTTCATCCTTCAGGAAGTGGCCTGTTGTCAGCTGCAAGTTTGGAGCTTGGGAGCAGGAATCCAAGTGAAGTGGCTCACACGAAGGATTTCGGTCGGCCTCCTGCTCCCAGGGAGGCTCCTGGTGACCAGCACTGCCTGCATCTCGAGGACCCCTCTCTGCCAGTCAGCTGAATGAAAGCTCTCTCCACTTGGTTTGGGAAATTATACGGATTCAGGGCTTCCTACATGGAGAAAGGAAATTCTGAAGAATTGGGATGAATTCCTCTTCTACAAATTCTTGTGCAAGTGCAAACAAAAGTCTGCAATACTATATATATTGGTTTTCAGTTTATGAAAGACTTGTAATTCACGTTTTTTTGTTTTTTGTTTTCTTTTTTATAACCTTGAAAAAGCATTCTAGTGTTCAATTACTTTGTACAATTAAAGGGCTTTAAGTTGTGAGCCTCAGAAAGACAAAAGGAGTATTTTAATTCTCTATTTTTGTTCTTTTGTTCTTTGCTTTTAAGTTTTTGAGACAGGATTTCACCATGTAACTGTGGCTGGCCTTGAAGTTGTAGAGATCTGCCTGTCTCCTGAGTGGTAGGATTAAAGATGTGTGGCACCATGCCCAGCTCTTTCGATGTGTGTGTGTGTGTGTGTGTGTGTGTGTGTGTGTGTGTGTGTGTGTGTGTGTGTGTGTGTGTGTGTGTAGGTAGGTAGGTTTCTTTCCCACTGATTTGGTATGTGTGATAGATGTGTGGAGTCCATAAAGCTGGCTAGACAGTGCGGGGCGGTGGTGGCTCACGCCTTTAATCCCAGCACTCACAGTGGATCTCTGTGAGTTTGAGGCCAGCCTGGGCTACAGAGTGAGTTCCAGGAAAGGTGCCAAAGCTACACAGAGAAACCCTGTCTCAAAAAACAAAACAAAACAAAACAAAAAAAGCTGACTAGACAAAAATGACCAGACTGTTTCTTTTCTTGAACTTTTTCCAAATTAAAGCTCCTTAATTAATTAACAGTTACCCTGGCTAGGACTCTATGGGACATGGGAAATACTTGGTTTTGTTTTTCCATTTCTGTACCCCACTTACCGCAGCTAAAAAGAAATCTATCTAGTTTCGTCTGGGGCTTCAGGCCGATCAGCCATCTCTCAACCCGTAATGCCTTGGCAGCACTTTCAGACATCCCGGGACTGGCCCAGCTCTACTTCGTCTGTGTGAAAGGCTCTAACCGTACCTCTGTGTTTAGGTGAAGGGTCTCAACCCTACTGTGACTGTGTGAGGGTTTCCAGGTCCAATCCCCAGAAGTTAGTGACATTTTAGCTTTTGATTTCAGATGAGCTGTTTCTGAGAATGAGACATTTTTCTTGTAGTCTTTATTGTATGTACATATAGCACAAGATATTGCAGGGTTTTTTTTTTTTTTCAGACAGTAGTGTAGCTGGCTGAGGATGCAAAATCCAGCCTTCCAAGAACCATTTCTATATTTAAAAAAAAATAATTAAAGCTTTTGGTAAATAGTCTGATGTCTTATGGGTGTTCTTTGCAGGAAAACCAAACCAAACCAAACAAAACCCCTGAAAACATTGGAGACTAAAGTTCTGAGTTGGCAGCTGATAATTTTTCCTCTTGGAATTTCAAGTCTGATTCGAGAATGCAGTTTGGTGAAGACTAAAGACCCTGCCAGACTTTCATAGTAACCTTGTGTTCTAGCCATCACTTTGTTCCAGAGCTGGCTATTGGTTCAGGTTCCTAGATTATTTTCATATAGTTAGGGGTGGCATAGGGTTTTCTTAGGCTTTAGGTGTAAAGGCCTAAATGATACTTATTTAGAAAGAAAATTAAGACAAAAGAAACCAGTTCTTTGGCTTTACACAGATTGCAACTTTCCTGTCCTTTTACACAACGCTTCTGTCAAAAGGTAAGTTGAAACACTCCAGCACTAGATCAGTGCTAGCACAGAGCAGGAACATGTTTAGTGATGCAGCAGCCAGGTCCTTTTTCTCAGATAAGCCAATAAACCAGGAAGAAATAGATTGCTCTGGAAAATTCTGGTGTTTCATCCTTATGGGAAATCAGACCTGTGGGCTAAGAGGGCTCTGTTGTTTATCAGTGGAAATATGTCATTGTTCCTGTCATTTCAAGTCATTTCATTACTTGGGCCATGTATCTTTTTTTTTTTTTTTTTTTTTTTTGGTTTTTCGAGACAGGGTTTCTCTGTGTAGCTTTGCGCCTTTCCTGGAACTCACTTGGTAGTCCAGGCTGGCCTCGAACTCACAGAGATCCGCCTGGCTCTGCCTCCCGAGTGCTGGGATTAAAGGCGTGCGCCACCACCGCCCGGCGTATCTTTTTTTAATGGCAGACGTCTTTGTGTGTGTGTGTGTGTGTGTGTGTGTGTATATGTGTGGTGTATGTATATTGCATACTTGTTGCAGTTACAGTTGGGTGTCCTCTGTAACTTCGAGGCAGGGTCTTTTCCCTATAACTGGACCCACATTCCTTTTTGGCTAGGTTGGCACTCAGTTAAGGCCCATTGGTCCTGACTCCTTCCCTCTTGGTGCTGGGATTATAGGCATGCTTGGGACCACACCTGGATTTTTATGTGGGTATGGGATCTGAACTGCAATCCTTATGCTTGTGCTGTTAATTGCTAAGCCATCTCTTCAGCCTCTAAAATGACTGACTGACTTTTAGTGTGTGTGACCGGGTATTCATGTTTAACACAGAATTAAAGAAAAAAAAAAACTATTATATGGGCATGTGTGCCATTGTGTATATGTGAAAGTCAGTGGACAACTTTGTGGAGTGAGTTTTCTACTTTTACATGAGTTCCTAGGGTCAAACTCAGGTCATCAAGCTGGTGTGGCAAATGTCTTAACTGCTGAGCCATCTTGCTGACCCTAGACACATATTTTTAAACAATACAACTTACTAAATACCTTTATCTGGGTCTGGATCCATCTTACCATTTCAGGAAGAATTTTGGGCTGTCCTGGGAAGTTATTGCTGTATTACAGTGTCCACCAAAAACAGTACTCACTTTCAAAGGTGAGCCCAGGAACACAAATTTTGGTTGTTCATAAGAGATTCCACCCTGGATGTAGTTAAGTGAGTTATTACTAGTTACAGAACAAAGTCATAGATCAAGGCATTTACCAGACATCAGTGGGGACCACAGATAGGAAGGCTAAAGCAAAACTGGGAAAACAGTTACTATAGCATTTTAGGTGTTAACTAATAATACTATTAGCTTTTGGATTGGTGAAAACCAGTGGTGGTCTTAGAATATATTTTAAAGGCCTTCATAGTCAAAAAGCTGTTCGGTTAGACAGGGTGGACAGTGAATGAATTTCAAAAAGGCTAAAAATGATCCATGATAATTTGGTTCTGGTTTGCGACATCTTAGCTCCACAATTAGGTTATTTGGCCTTATAGAATCTTTAACGCGTGCGGCTTTGTGTCCCGTCCGTCCCCGCCCTCCCGTAAGTGGAGTTTACAACAGGAAATGGTGCTGTGAGCTTAGCTTCACCTGTACTCTAAAGGGCAGTTAAGAAACCCCGGTAGTCTTGCTTGTTCCTGGCAGAGACCTGCTTGCTTAGCGAAGAGAGCTGCTTGTGCATGGGCGGGCGCGGGGCATGAGCCTGTGGGATTCAAGGCTTGGCGGCGGAACGGAGGAACTCTGTCATCCGGGAGTGCCGCGGACCCGGACCGGGGCCGGACATTGTGGGCCAGGAAGGCCCGCCCCTTCCGGCGTCCCAGTTACGTTCGCCGCCTGGGCTCCATGGCTTCTCTGGGTCGGCAGGTGAGGTTGCCGTAGGGAGGGTGCCACAGCAGCCGTGGGCGGGACATGCAGGCGGCCCTGCCGCTGGTTCTTTGCGGCTACATCCTGGCACTTTGTGGCGGTAGCGATCCCGGGGGGCGGGTGCACAGACAGCCTGGTCCTGAGATAAGCCACTGGCTTCCACGGAGTTTCGGCTAATGTGGCGGCCATGGGCTGAGGAGACCTAGACCGCTAAGACAGAGGGACGGGGAGGCTGGCCATGCTAGAGAGGGTTTGGAGACCAGTCTGGCGGGCACCGGGTGCTTTATTTGTTATGCGCTAGTCCCATACACTGAGAATTGTCAGGCTCCTGTCCAAGAATATTCTTCCTTTAATGGAAGGGAGCCTTGAAAATACTATCCTTTGTTGGAATGAATTCAGGTAGTGCATCTATCTGGTGGCTAGTCTGCGGCTCACAATTTTCAGCCACATGTTAATGACTAGCAGTCCTCTCTAAAGCTAAAAAGTATTGGTTGTGCCCGACACCTATCTCTTCAGTAAGTGCTGTTGTCTATATGCTAATTTCCTTCTCTGGAGACTTTGGGCCCAGAGGTTTTACAGATTGTTTACAAAAACTGTTAGCTTTTGTGGGCCAAGGTCCAAAATACTCTGGCTCAGTAATCTTGTGATAGTCATTCTCCTGAGGTGGAACTGATTCTGTTTTGGCTCTGTCTTACAGGTTCTTGACTGGCACCGTCTAAGGGCCCTCTCCTGGACCTGTTTGGCTAGGCAGACCCCTCATCTCAGAGAACAGAAAAGGATAAGTCCTTCTTTGTTTTGCAAACTGACTACAGCACCCAATGGAGAGAGCCTTCAAGAGTTGTCCTGTGTTAAATCCAAAAAGTATGTGCAGGAGCCAGAGTACAGGACGCGTCTTGTTCAGTGTCTTCATGAGGAACAGAGGACTTGTGTGGATCCTAAGTCCTTGGAGCTTGAGAAAGCTATCACTTCCCTGCAGGACATGGGTTTTGATGAAGCCCATATTAACAACTTGCTCAGTATGCAGCCAAGTGTCCATCCTCAACAGTTGCTGGACATAATTTCAGAATTTCTGCTCTTGGGGTTGCACCCAGAACCTGTATTTATGGCCTTGAAGAAAAGTCCACACTTACTGAAACTATCTCCAACGCAAATGAAGAAGCGTTGCAGCTACCTGCGGAAGCTTGGCCTTGGGGGAGGTAGACGAAGCCGCAGACTTTGTAGTGTGAGGGGAGTCAGAGTTAGTGAAAAATAGCCTGCCTTAGCAGAGTGTCTTGCCTTTGATAGTGTGACATGACATCATCTACAAATGTGTTAGGCTGCGTTCATAGCTATCCTGGGATGCATGTGGGCTGTGGGCTAAACACACCTTAGTAAGGTGAAGTGGGGTAGGAGGCTTTTCCAAGGAGAGGTCAGTGTCTCTGAGGAGATGTGTGATGAGTCTTCTGCAGAAGGCGTTGTAAGAGGGATGAGAGATTAACAAGGAGGAGAGAACAAAGGCCAAAACAAGTCCCATGTGTTCTGTTCATTGAGTTCTCTAGCTCCAGAACAGTGGGGACATGAAGTCTATTTGGTGGGTTAGTGTTACTATGTGGTAGTGGTATATGTGTTTGCCTATGTGTGACCTCTGCAAAAACATACCATACAAAACTTTAGACTGGTCGTGCCAGGTTCCTGGAAAGCTGGTAAAGTGGCCTCCTTCTTCCAATTGTTGTCATTCTGGAGAAGGGAGATGGGGATCTCCAGTGATCTCTACCCGTTTGACCTCTCTTATTTCTTATTATTGACTGTTCCTGGTAAGTCGGGGGGGTTAGCGCCCACTATGTTT